TTCCTCTAAGGTGTTGCCTGTGGTCAGCTCCTCCCACAGAGTACAATCAAAACAAGCCTGAAGAGTGTCCTGCACCTCACTATTCCACTGTTGTATGTGCTTTTTCACAACACCCTCTCTCTCTAGTTTGGTGTGATATGCTGGGACTAGGTGGATGACATTATGGTCTGCTGTGCTGAGTGGTGGTTTCTTATAGGCTCTGAATGCATCCTTAATGTTGCCATAGCAGGAATTGTTTTACCGCCTCTGGTGGCACAGGTGACATACTGGTGGTAGGTTGGGAGAGTTTTATTCAGTCTGCAGCCATTGAAGTCCCCAAGGACAAACACGGGTGAGTCGGGGGAGGCATCTTCCAGCTTTTAAACACATGATGCGATGGTCTCTGATATGCGCTGATGATTTACTTTAAAAATGTAAAAATCTTTCTTTAAACACAAGATGAGAATCACAAGCAAACGTTTGAACTCTTTCAAGTTTTAATAAGCTGGTCTATTTCTGCTCCAACGCTGGGGATCTTTGTTCTGCCCGACCAAAGTTTCTAATTACTCACAAAATACTGTTTTCAATTTATATCAGTCGTTCACAACAAATTTGAAAGTTCTGAATTAACACTCTCAGAGTTAAAATGAACACTTCTTCAGACTTTATATGGGAACCACTGCTTCAGTGTTAAATCAACATGTTTAAAAGCGTTTACATTTCAACACTATTTTAGTGTTAAGACTGAACTCTTTTGGTGTTCAATTTAAAAACCAGCAGAGTTTACTAAATACACCAAATCAGTGTTAAAACACCACATGGAGACATGTAAACAAGTGTTTACATGTCTCTGTCTCTCTAACACTGTAGAGGTCTTTAAACATCATCTAAAAACTCACCTTTTCATCCAGGCGTTCTCTCCATAAATGTTCAAAAAGATGGCTTTGTTTGGGTTCACACCTTCACTTTGTTTATACTAATGATTTAATTTTCTCCTTTGTCACTGCTATTGTTTATTGGATGTTTTTATTGGTTAGAGGTATTTGACCTGATCTTTATCATGTTGTACAGCGCTTTGTGATTTACAGGTGCTGGCCAGTAAATTAGAATATCATCAAAAGGTTGAAAATATTTCAGTAATTCCATTCAAAACGTGAAACTTGTACATTATATTCATGCAATGCACACAGACCAATGTATTTCCGATGTTTATTACGTTTAATTTTGATATTTATAGGTGACAACCAATGAAAACATCAAATCTGGTATCTCAGAAAATTAGAATATTCTAAAGGCCAATGAAAAAATGTTTGTTTCTCTAATGTTGGCCAACTGAAAAGAATGAACATGAAAAGAATGTGCATGTATAGCACTCAATACTTAGTCGGGGCTCCTTTTGCCTCAATAACTGCAGTAATGCGGCGTGGCATGGACTCGATCAGTCTGTGGCACTGCTCAGGTGTTATGAGAGCCCAGGTTGCTCTGATAGTCGTCTTCAGCTCCTCTGCATTGTTGGGTCTAGCGTATTGCATCCTCCGCTTCACAATACCCCATAGATTTTCTATGGGGTTAAGGTCAGGCGAGTTTGCTGGCCAATCAAGGACAGGGATACCATGGTCCTTGAACCAGGTGCTGGTGGTTTTGGCACTGTGTGCAGGTGCCAAGTCCTGTTGAAAGGTGAAGTCTGCATCCCCATAAAGTTGGTCAGCAGCAGGAAGCATGAAGTGCTCTAAAACTTCCTGGTAGACGGCTGCATTGACCCTGGACCTCAGGAAACAGAGTGGGCCAACACCGGCAGATGACATGGCACCCCACACCATCACTGACGGTGGAAACTTTACACTGGACCTCATGCAACGTGGATTCTGTGCTTCTCCGCTCTTCCTCCAGACTCTGGGTCCTTGATTTCCAAAGGAAATGCAGAACTTGCTTTCATCAGAAAACATAACTTTGGACCACTCAGCATCAGTCCAGTCCTTTTTGTCCTTGGCCCAGGCGAGACGCTTCTTGCGCTGTTTCTTGTTCAAGAGTGGCTTGACACACGGAATGTGACACCTGAATCCCATGTCTTTCATGAGTCTCCTCGTGGTGGTTCTTGAAGCGCTGACTCCAGCTGCAGTCCACTCTTTGTGGATCTCCCCCACATTTTTGAATGGGTTTGTCGTCACAATTCTCTGCAGGGTGCGGTTATCCCTAGAGCTTGTACACTTTTTTCTACCACATTTTTTCCGTCCCTTCGCCTGTCTGTTAATGTGCTTGGACACAGAGCTCTGCGAACAGCCAGCTTCTTTAGCAATCACCTTTTGTGTCTTGCCCTCCTTGTGCAAGGTGTCAATGATTGTCTTTTGGACAGCTGTTAAGTCAGAAGTCTTCCCCATGATTGTGGTGCCTTCAAAACAAGACTGAGGGACCTTTTAAAGGCCTTTGCAGGTGTTTTGAGTAAATCAGCTGATTAGAGTGGCAGCAGGTGTCTTCTATATTCAGCCTTTTCAGAATATTCTAATTTTTTGAGATACCAAATTTGGAGTTTTCATTAGTTGTCACTTATGAATATCAAATTTAAATGTAATGAACATTGGAAATACATTGGTCTGTGTGCATTGCATGAATATAATGTACAAGTTTCACGTTTTGAATGGAATTACTGAAATATTTTCAACCTTTTGATGATATTCTAATTTACTGGCCAGCACCTGTATATCTGTGAAAGGTGCTATATAAATAAACTTTTACTTCCTTACTTACTTGTTAAATTTTGACACCAAGACAGTGTTCGCCTAAATAATTAAGAGTTAATTTCAGTAACATGTACATAACAACCAGTATTGATATTTAGAGTCCATCTTGAACTTAAGTTATTAATTAACACCACAATTTAATTAATTTTGGTACTTTTCAGTGTGTAATGCCAGGAAGCTATCAACTATAATAAGAAACTGGTTAACTCTTGCCTTATCCACCTCATGATTGCAATCGCAATTAGTCAATGGCGATGTTCAAGAGACGTACAGCCACTGGCTGTGAATGCGCCACTAATTAATTGTCCCAGTTGAACACACAGCAGCCTTATTCTTTTGACTGGCCTCCTCACTCACGGTGCAAACATGACATAACAAGCAAAACCACATTTGCAAGTGAACAAAGTACTAACTAAGAACAACACAACTCCCCAAAATAAACATTCATAAACACCCTAAAACAGAACAAACTAACTAAAAACATGACTACCCACAATGCGCCTAGCCCACTGCAGCTCTCTGCAGCCAATCGGTCGCTACCAGTCCAACTTTTTGAATAAAAGGGTGGAGTCTACAAATTGACTCTGCAGGTGTTACAGCTGCTGTGGGAGTTCAGAGTTTTTTAGGAGTTATTTTGTCCAAAATGACACCTACAGAGTTGATTAGGAAACACTGCGTTTTAACACTGGGTTTTAACTCTCATGTCAGTGTTACATATCAACTATGTAACACTTTTTAGTGTTAAATTAACTATTCTTGGTGTTAAATTGGACCAACACCAGAAAATTAACACTTGTGAATTTGCTGTGCGTTTGCTCACCAAAAATTATTGTGAATTTCTCTGAGTAGAATTTTAATTATCAATACTTAAGATGTTCATTTCTAATTAGAAAAATGTCCTTTACTGATATGGGGCTAAAACGAAACAAGTTAGAAAACAAATTGGGAAAGTGTCACAGCCCCATAGATTTCTGACATGTTTGCCTAACATTAGAAGGGCCTTTTAAATTAGGATCTCGGGGATTAATATTTAACTAACTTATTTTTAAGACATGTAACCTGTAATTTACCAGTATGAAAGAACGACATTTTAATATCAAATTCAACTAGTAAAAATTATTTCAAAACAAAATAAAATAAATGAGTGCGATTTGATTATATGTTACAAAAGCATTATATGCTACAACAGCATGCCATAGAGCTGAATGGAGCCGCTGCTGTTCGCTTCCGGAAGATGTGGCTGAAAACAGGCTTCCGTGCACGCGCACCAAGAACTTGATCAACGTGTGTGTGTGTGTGTGTGTGTGTGTGTGTGTGTGTGTGTGTGTGTGTGTGTGTGTGTGTGTGTGTGTGTGTGTGTGTGTGTGTGTGAAAGCCCTCCCCAGCGCGCTGTTGCCATGCAGCGCTGCCAGCTCGTCAGCTGATCTTTGTTGTTCTCTTATCTCAGCTGTTCGAGTGTCCGCCCCTGCACTAGTCTCGACTCTCACTCAGCTGCCGATGACGTTATGGTTCAATAGTTACGTTAAATCACAACCAGCTGGTTAATTATAAACCTCTTTAGGAACGATGCTTTAAATATTTATAGTCCCTCTTTAAAATGAGCTCGCGACGCATAAAATCGGATGATTTATTTGATTTAGAACATTTGGACTTTTAACCCATTAAATTATTAATATTATCCGTTTTACGTGTTTTAATGAAATTAGTATTTTGCATTAAATAGTCCTTTGTTTACACGCAGTCCCCCTCCTGTCTCTGCGGAAGGAGGCCTTTTTAGTAGTGCGGTGTGTGACTCCTACCAGCTGTTTCCCGCCTTGAAAGCCATCCGATCAGCTGCGCGCGCACGCACGCACACACACACACACACACACACACACACAAACAGATGCGCGCGCGCGGATATGCAGAGGGAGAAGGCAAAGGGGGAGGGAGACGGAGACAGAGGTAGAGCGCCACACACAACGAGGGAACCCCATCAGCTGGAAGTCGAGTAACATTACAGTCCGCCGCAGCCTGAACGAACTGCAGACGAGGGATTTAGATCTTCTCTGAGGAATCTAGCCGCCTCGGATCTCCTTTCTCTGTTTTTCTACTGAAACTTTGCTGCTTTTTAGGGGGGAAATCAAACTGGCGAACGGCGAGCATGGAGTATTTCATGGTACCAGCTCAGAAGGTGCCCTCATTGCAACACTTCAGGAAAACGGACAAAGAAGTGATCGGTGGTCTTTGTAGGTGTGTAAGCCACACGTGTGTGTGTGTGTGTTATAACTGCGACCTGTGTGGGGAATATATGGCAACATGCATGGTCTGATCTGTTATTGTGTACGCGGCTCACTCACGGGCAGCTGCGGGCGGTAATTAACACTAAACACCGGGATCACATCACCGCCGAGTCCGCGGGGATCCCTGCTCCGGCAGCGGGATCTTCGGTTCGTTATTTCGCACATTTGCTCGTGAAATCGGTGCATTTTGTGGCTAACAAACATAAACCACGTGGTCCCGTGCACACCACGCCGCTACTCCGCTCTAGAGCGCATACCCTCGAAATATTCATCCAAAAACTAGCTCACACACAACTAAACGTGTTGCGATTTGCGCACTGACATATAATATAGCTCTTTGTTGCGTGGTTTTGTTTTAAATGATGCGTGGTTGTCGTGAACGCTTGTGACTGTTGGCGATTAGGCTCAAAGGAGCCGAAGTTATTGTGGGTAGTGCGGCCATGCTTGTGGCTTGTGCTTAAAAGTGATGACGGCTCTGCTGTTCGTCTCGTTTTATAGCGTCATCTTATCGCTCGGTACTTAAGCTCAAGTGAGCAGCTGTTGTCACGTTGACCCTCAGCTGGAGTTGTGGTAGTTACAAGAGTGTTTCTGTGTCTAATTTGCGCTGCCGAGCCGCCTCCACTGCGTCTTTTCATCCCGCACCTCAGCCATGCTGCCTGCCTGCCGCATTGTTGTAATGGCGGAGAGCACGAAGTCGGCTCTGAGCACAGCGGACTGCTCGGGCTCAGCGGAGGGCTCGCCTGGGCGTGTGGAGAGACACGCTGCTTACTGCGGGTTCGGTACATGATTTTTTAGGTGTTCGCGGAGAGGCAGAAGATCAAACGTGGTGTTTTTATCAAGGGGGTGTGTGTGTGTGTGTCGCGGAAGGCCCGTCTATGCTTTCCGCAGCAGCCCTGTTGGAAGGATGGAGGGAGGCGGCGGAGGGATCTACCATCTGTTTCTGCTGGTGGCACCAGGGCATCATGGGAAATAGAGTTTAATTCACTTGGCCCCAAATCTTCGGCTTCTGAGATTTGGTTCAGAACTGCCTTTTTCCAGTAATAACATTTATTCAACTCGAACGTATTTTAAACACGTGTTACAAGAGTCAAAATGCGAAAACTGACAGGGTAAAAACAAAAAGTATCCCAAAAGTTTAAATCTTTCAACGATTAACCTTTTAAACGGGACCATGCTGTAATTAATCATGATATTTTCACCTTGTTTCCATTCAAAGAAATGTTTAAATTAGGCTATTTTGTCCTGACAGATCATGATATTATTTTTTTTTTCATATTTATTTCAAGCCCACCAAAAAGTTGGATTCACTTTGATAGCTTTTTTTTTTGTTGCCATTTTTAGAAAATATTTAACTATTTCAATCCAATATAACAAATTATAGACCTTCATTGTACATTTTTGAAACTCTTAAGTTTTTACTGAAGTTGTGCTTTAGTTACGTTTGTGTACTTGTATGAACAACAGGGGCCAGAGGTAGCTTACAGCAGCTGGTTAATTACCTGCATGATGTTACCCAATGGATGGGGTCCAACTTCCTTTCTTTAAATGAGGCAAAAACTGTAATAATAGTTTTTACTCTAAATGACCGCCAGCCCCATGGATTGGACCTTTCATCCTTTCTCCCCTACGAGAAGTCCGTCATACCGGATCTGGGTGTCAAGATAGACTCTGGTCTACGATTTGATAGTCAGGTGAACTTTGTTGTTCGTTCGTGTTTCTATCAGTTAAGGCACTTGTCTAATATTAAGTCTATCTTAACTAAACAGGAGTTGAAAACTGTAGCCAATGCTTTTATCACCTCTACGCTAGAGTATTGCAACTCCCTCTGTGCTGGCTTGAGCTGACCAGCTGGCTTTAATGACTTGGCTCCAGCTGGTCCAAAACGCTGTGGCCAGATTTCTTTATGGAGCATGTCACTCCCCCTCCTGACAGCTTTGGACCGGCTATTGGTGAAGAGTTGCACCTTGTTCAAAATCCTGGTCCTTGTTTTACAATCCCTGTCTGGATCAGCGCCACCATATTTAGCCTCCCTGCTGACCCGTTTCTTTCCTGCAAGATCGCTACGTTCGGATCACAGTGACCTTTTGGTGGTACCGTGATGGGTGATCGTGCCTTTGCAGTTCTGGGTCCTCAGCTTTGAAACCAACACCCACACGAAATCAAGCCGTCCACATCGCTGCCCACTTTCAAAGCGAGGCTTACGCTGTATTTTAGATCCATTTCTTAGTTGTTTCTGTTCACATTTTAAGGTTTTTGATCACAATTTTTTGTTTTTAGCTCTTTTTTTATTGTTTGTTTTGAAATGTTTTCATCTCTGTATTTTATTACAGAGCTGTTTTATTGTGCTGCTTCTTTGCACCATGTTCAGCACCTTGGGCCCCCTTGATTGGGGGTTTATAAATAAAACTTTATAAATAAAATGAACATGAAGTGATTGGGATTTTCAGCTGATCAGCTCTGTCAGTAAATCCGCTGTTTAGTTACCTGCTCCTGCTTTACTCCAGCCTAACTGGCTCTTCCTCTCCCGGGTTTACGTTAGCCCAGGTGTTTTGACCGTGGATTGTGTTTGTTGGATATGCCGCTGCAGCGATGCTTTGTGCGTATCTCTATACACCTAGAACAAACAGGCACCGTTTTTCTGGTCTGTCTCTGCACAGTTGTGTTTGCATTGAGGCAGCTGAGTCGGTACCGATAAGAGCTTGGCAGGAGCGAGGAGTCCCACAGATATCCAGTTGCACACAGAAGGGTTTTGGAGTCTCAGCACCTGGCTGGTGGCTCTTTTTCTCAACTCGGGTGTGATGACGATATTAACACGTTAGAAACTATATTAAATGCCTGAAGCTGTAAAATGTAGTTGCCTGTGTGGGATATGTAGTTTGGTGCATACATTGTTATTCAGCGCATGTCCCGTGAAAGCCAGCTCCCACAACCTGCTTCTGAGCTCATGAATATAGCATCTGTTGCTGTTAAAGGTTTTCTTCTGTCCAACGACTTTGCCCTCTTCCCTCTCTTTCCCTTCCAGTCTGGCCAACATTCCTCTGACCCCAGAAACCGCCCGGGACCAAGAGAGGCGCATCCGTCGAGAGATCGCCAACAGCAACGAGCGTCGGCGTATGCAGAGCATCAACGCCGGCTTCCAGTCGCTTAAAACGCTCATCCCACACAGCGATGGAGAAAAGCTCAGCAAGGTGGGTCACGGGCGGCGATTTAGACGCAGCTGTTAGGGCTCTGAGCGTAACTTTCATAACCAGCCTTTCTCTTCAGGCTGCCATCCTGCAACAGACAACAGAGTACATTTTCACTCTGGAGCAGGAGAAGACGCGACTATTGCAGCAGAACAGTCAGCTCAAACGAATCATACAGGTACAGCGTGAGCTTCTGTCAGCGGTGTCTCCTCAGTGTTGCTCGTCTATACCTGGATGTGTCGTTCCCTTCTGCAGGAGTTAAGTGGCTCTTCCCCGAAAAGGAGGCGAGCGGAGGAGAAAGATGAGGGTATTGGCTCACCAGACATCCTGGAAGAGGAGAAGACGGAGGACTTAAGGAGGGAGATGATTGAGCTGAGGCAGCAGCTGGAAAAGGAGCGCTCAGTCAGAATGATGCTGGAAGATCAGGTAACGGCAAAAACAGAAAAACGGTGTCAGATGTCTGACCAGCACCACCACTGACACTTTTGTCTCAATTTTCTGCGTGGCAGATGCGTTCTCTGGACGCTCAGTTGTACCCGGAGAAGCTGAAAGTGATCACTCAGCAGCTCCAGGAGCAGCAGGTCCAGGCACAGACTCTGATTCGTTTGCAGCAGCAGCAGAAACAGCTGGAACAGGACATTACTCCAGCGCACAGCCCTCAGGTACAGCTACTCCGTCCTCTGGTTTAAAGAAACACTAGCAGACGTTTGGACATTCTTTTCAAAGGTTTGACCTGGAAATAAACACACACCTACGGACCGCAGTCCCCTCCACGCCCACTGCTCCAGCTTTCTGCGTTCCTCGCGGAGTGAGTCGGATGAGCTGCTCACACATTTCTGTGCAGTTGTCCGCCCCGATCCATATCTGGGTTCTCACCATGGCACAGAGCGATCAGTCGTCCTCTGGTGTCCGCTCCGCCCCACCACACAGTTGGAGAACAAAACAGCACTCTTACCTCTGACTGATGCTATTGGACGTTTTGGTCTGGTATTTTTAGACTGTGAGGCGGACTTGTCAGACTACTTGTTCAGGGTATCCGCGGGTCCTTAAAAAGCCTTAAAAAGTCTTAAATTTGCTTTTCCAAATTTAAGGCCTTAAAAATCCTTAAAAATGACAAATAATCCTTGAATACAGTTTTCAAAGGTCTTAAATTACCAAAGACTCACTAAACAAGATTATTTTATTTCTATAAAATTTTCGTGAATTTCTAGTTAGTGTTCAGCATTTTTTGTGTACGATAATGGCAAAAGTGGAACCGTACACATTCCGTTGCTTGTGAAAGGGGGCTATTTTTAGATGAGCACATTAGCTGGTTAAGCTAGTGGGAGCTTGTGCCATGGGGAAGTGCAAGTTTAATGGTAACTGGATGGTTAATCCCAAATTTGCGACGTGGTTAGCACCGGTTCCAGGCAATAGCTGGAAATTATAGCTTAAATTTAATATTTAAAAATAGCTTAAATTTGGTCAAAGTGGCCTTAAGAAAGGTCTTAAAAAGTCTTAATTGTGGCTCCCTTACACCCGCAGATACCCTGTTGTTCTTGAGTGAAAAACGAGCCTTAAGGTGCTTGTAGGGGCATGAATAATGGGATAGAAGCTGCTTTTAATTGAGACTTGTGGCGTAAGCTGGACCTGACCTTTAAGTGAGGGCTGCTGAGGGCTCGTGGGCCTTATATTGATCTAGAGCTAAAAAGTGATGCATTTCCTAACGACTCTAGGTTTGTTTGTAATATTATTTCAGACTGTGTGGATGACCTGCCTGTTTGTATGTCGGTTCATTTGTTAGTGAGACAAAGTGGGAACGCCACAATAAAATTGTTTTTGTTTGAACCAGGTGTTGGCTCCCGCTACTCCACCTGCACCCACACATCACGCAACAGTCATCGTTCCTGCGCCTGTTCAGACTCCCCAGCCCCATCATGTTACCGTGGTAACCATGGGTCCAACATCAGTTATCAATTCAGCATCCACATCTCGACAAAACCTGGACACCATCGTTCAAGTAATGACCTTTTTTTGTTTCGGCGACATTTCTGACCTGAACACTAGGCGGTCGTGTTGTCACTGGCTTGTCTCCTTGCTCTTGCAGGCGATCCAGCACATTGAGGGTACCCAAGGGAAGGGCTTTGAGGAAGAGCAGCGAAGGGCGGTTATCGTCAGCTCGGGGCGCGTCCTCTCTGATGCAGCGGGCTCTGATACAGCCTCAAACAGCGACGGGCCTGATGACTGTTCACTGCCTTGAGTTTGCCCCTGACATCTCGTGGATCGCACACCCGCATACACTCGTAAACACAAAAGGCCTGAGAAGACCAACGCAAAGGGAGGCTGCCGAGTCGTTCTGTGGACGTTAACAGGACTGGTAGTCGGATTGAAGCACTCGTTCTTAGTTTCTTTTATACTTTTTTATTTTTACTGTCTTCTGCCTTCCAGTACTCACCAGGCCTGCTGTGCTGGGCGGCCCGTATAGGTATACACTCAGATGTGCTGTCTCGTCTGCATATTTCTCTGCTTATCTCTAACTCCGGCTCACTAACCCACTCTCACAATCTCATTCTCTTCATGAATTTATATAAAGAATATTAGAGCTACTACATTGGTGACCGATTTTAGAAATGTTCTGTCAAACTTCAACTATTTGCTAAACATCTTTATTAGCTACCAGGACTGTTGTGTTGTTGGGGTCCTGAGGCCGGCCACGTGACTGATCAAAAGAACAAAACCTCGGCGGCGTGCTGTCGGCGGAGACGCGTACTTCTGACGACAGGACGTTCTTGTTAGCCTGAGACCCATCTGAGCTGTTGGAAAGACACTGAGTTCACGAGACTGATCCTAACGTTCCATCTTTCAAGCTTCATGTTGAAAGAGATGTGTTATTTTACTGTCGAGTTGTATTTTTCATACTTTTATTAGGCCCTGCCAGAAAGCTAAAAACAGAACCAGGAGGAAGTAAAAGCTGTTTCATGACTCGCTGGTGCTCACGTGAAATAAGCACTTACTGGTTCACAACTTTATTTTCAGTTTGTTTGTTTCTGCTACTGCTGGGCTGGGTTCCCAGTTATCCCATTGGTGTATTTGGCACGTTCTTCCTTAACTTGTTGCCTAACAAAAAAAAAACAAAACATAACTTCATAGATGTTTCTGAAAATCCTCCCCTTCTGTGTCCGATAGCACCTGGCTGGTCAATAAGCTAACCTGTGGGCCGTACAACAGGTGTGTGTGTGTGTGTGTGTGTCTTGGTGTTTTGAAGCTGCAGGCCTTAGTGGTGCCCCAGACTCTGGAAGTCTCCAACAGCACCACTTCTGCCTTGAAATGTAAGACTTTCTCATACAAATACGATATACAATCACTTGTTTGCTCGATCAATAGAGCTTGTTTTTGTTTACCCCCTCCCTCGGTGTAGTGCTTGGTCTCACCTTTGGGACATCTATCAAAGCAGAATGTGCTGAAGAATGAGGAAATGTTTCCTGTGAGTAACTGGATAGATTACAGCCACTCTATGCATCTCCTGGCGTTGCTCGCGTCGCTTTGTCTGCTTCATCGTGCTTTTTACATGATTTTGCTTGAGTTTTGCGCTTTGACCAGGAAGTCTGGATGCAGCGGAGAGGGGCTGCAGCTCGTCTTATTCACAGCCCCACAGCTGCAGGGAGACCAGCCTTAACAGCCCCGGGGAGTTAAGAGAAGTAAGACTTCATCCAGGTCTTTAGGAGGCTGCTGGTTCTCTAGAAACATCCAGGGGTGTTCCAATATTTACTGCTAGTTATCATACCCAATTCTCTTACTTTAGTTCTATTTTCACGCCTCAGACATGAACGGTCTACAAACAATACTAAAAGGATCCTGAGAGCTGTTTGGCAGGAGTGTTAAAATGCTGGTTGGGTTTACGTGTAGTTTTTAAACCGTTGGAGCTCTGCGGGGTGTGAGTCGTAAAGCCAGAGATGTGGAGATGTTTTCCAACTCGACATTCCATAAATTTGTATTCAGGTTTTCCAGTAAGGAGGCAATAAAACGGGCCTCTTCAGTAACGGTTACACCCCTCCCACGTCGCCGCTGGAGAGACGGTGTGCTTAACTAACTGATCACTCCTCATCGTGACGTTTGTCGTGGAATGACCCTTTAAAACCGTTGACGTCAGCTGCACCGAGACCAGCGTCTCCGTTAGAGTTTCCGCTTTTCGAAGAGCGTCTTCTCGTTCTGCATCTGAAACTTTTATGCTGATTTCGAGAATGGTTCGTTTCCATTTGCTCCGTCTTGTTTTTACCTTTTTTTTTTTTTTGCATCGCAGTTTGTTATGAGGACATATCAGAATAGCGGGGAGGGCCTAGAGGTGAAGGTTACGAAGCACTTACTGTAATATACTGAGTGGAGTTTGCTTCTTGTGTGTAAAGGAGCATCTCCTCAGCTGAAGCTCTTGAGGTCAGAGGAGTAAAGCCCCATCTCTTCTGTCAACCATCATATCTTCTTTTGCATATTTTATCCTATCTTTATGTGTCGTCTTTACATTTTCCCAGACATTTTGCAGTTATGTTTCTTCTCTCCTGTAAATTTTTCTCCTCCGTTCCTTGTTTTGTTATTAGACCTGTCGGTGCATACAGTCATCAAGAAGCTATTGTTTTGTTTTTCTAAAGAAAAGTTTTGGGGATAAAGAGGCTTGTGCCTTTGTAAAGACAGAATAATAAAGTTTGTACTTTGTTTTTTACACATTTGGCCTCAGTGTTTGTTTCCTTTTGTCATTGTTAATTTGCCACTGTTTCAGACAAAACTGCAAACATTACATAAATCTGAGGTTTTTTTTTTTTTAGTTTTGATGGTGAGCTACCAATCAAACAGTGGTGTGGATGCACAAGTGTCTGCTCCTGATTGGTGGATGCTGAAGCACCCCCACCCCCTCAGCTCATTGCTAAATTAAGCCTGACCACCTTCTCTCTGACAGTTAAAATATTCACCAGGGACAGTTGGTGGCATCTTTTGCCCTCATTTCCTGACATGCGTTGATCTATTCAAAGCCCCTTGTCTCCCCCGCCACCCCAAATGTTCAGTCGAAGGGGAAGAAGAATATTACACTTGATTGTGTTTTGGCAAATTCAACTTGTCTACAGAATGACTATAAAGACAGCAAAAATCCTAATGTCAAAGCTGAGAGATTCTGTCTCGTTCCAAAAAGGGGAAACTACAAAAACATGCTGAAGAAATCTGCTGCGTCTGAAACAATCTTTAGTTTTAAAAGCAAAGGTTTTCGCGACTGAGAGTAGATAGTTGAATATACTACATTAAATTAAATTGAAAAAATAATTAATTTCTAAAAATAATGTCAACCTAATTTGTCTAAAACTAAGATCAAACAAGTCAGATGATAAAATAATCAATTATACTACAAATACACAAAACAAGTCCCACTGAAATTTGATCATTTTATAGTTGGTTGTATAATTTACAGAATGGAATAATTGACATAGTTACAGTTATTATCCTGCAGCTAATCTATATTGCACTTTTAAAGTCATTTCCACCTCAGCTATTAAATTCACACATTAGGTTGCTCTAATATTAAGTTTTTCTGCCGCCTTTGATTACAGCTCACATTCACTGTCAATAAGCTTCTGCAGTGTCACAAGATTTTTTCACCAATATTTCAAACTGATGATGAAACCATCGGCCTGCTGCACAAAGCCTTCTCCAGCACATCCCAAAGATTCTCAGTGGGGTTAAGGTCTGAACTCTGTGGTGGCCAATCCATGTGTGAATATGATGTCTCATGCTCCCAGAACCCCTCTTTCACTATCTGAGCCTGATGAATCCTGGCAGTGTCATCTTGAATATGGCTGCGCCGTAAGGGAAGATGGAATAACCTGATCATTCAGTACATTCAGGTAGTCAGCTGACCTCATTCTTGGAGCACATCCTGTTGCTGAGCCTAGACCTGACCAACTGCAGCAACCCCAGATCATAGCACTGCCCCCACAGCCTGGTACAGTAGGCACTAGGCATGATGGGTGCATCACTTCATCTGCCTCTCTTCTTACCCTGATGCACCATCACTCTGGAACAGGGTCCATCAGGAAAGATGGAATAACCTGGTCATTCAATATATTCATTCTTTGGGCAGTAAGTATCCAATTAGAGGCGTAAAACTGTTTGTTTAGTTAAATCGAGGTAGAATCTTATGTGCATGTTTTTGCGTGTGTGTTAAACTGAAATCATCTAATGCTGGGAAACAACACAAGATCACACAGCATGTAATCCGATTACATGTTGATCCCAACATTTGTTGTTTCAAGCTGGTAAAATTACAACCATTGGTTGTAGTGGTTATCTTCAGTGGGTAGATGTATATCTGGTGATTATTTTCTGAACATTTCATTAGAATCTGTTCAACTCTTCTTCTATTTGCTTCACTACACTGGCTGCCTGTAAAATTCAGAATAGATTTTAAAATCCTCTTTCTCACATATAAAGCTCTTGATCAGGCTCCATCACACATCACTGATCTGATTGTTCCATGTTTTCCTGACAGAGTACTTCAGGTTTACTGACTGCAGGTCTAGTGGTTCCTGAAACATCTAAAAAATAGGATGGGAGGCAGATCTTTTACCTAGGCTCCTCTAGTGGAATCAGTTCCCAGCTTTAGTCTGTGAGGCAGACACCTTGTCTACTTTTAATTTGGTTATTAATTTATTGATTAATGTTGTGTAATGGTTTAGGCTCTTTTATGAAAGATGAACCAATTTGAGATATTAATTTTAATAAATTAATAACCAAATTTTATAGAATTAAGAAGACTCAAAGGTTGTTTTCATCGATAAACTGACGATAATATCCGTGGGTCTGTGTTTCAGTTCAATGAAGAGACAAGTTTGAAAGTTAAAAGTTTTAATTCTTCAAATTAAACTAATGATTTTGAAATGACAAGCATAGGAAACAACAATCAACATTGGCAACTTTGTCGAAAAATCTTTAACAGTTGATATTTTAAACTTGCTCAAATAGACCTTGTGTTGAATGTGTGAAAATTGATAATGAGGTGAGATGAATGCGTGTGTGCGTCTGATTTTGCTTCAGGAAGAAACAGGTGTCTGAGTGAAAAGTGATGTTTGAATAAACTTAGGTTTTGTTGGAAAAGATGCATCAAACGCTATCTCTCGTGGACTGCCTCACCGTATTCGGACCCTCTTTTAGATCCGGGACGTCAAAGGACGATGTTTCATCCAGGGCACCTTGGCTGGCAGAGAAGACGAAGGTGTCCGACGCTCCGGTCCAGAGATGACCTCGGTACACGTGATGATTAAGTTTAAATTACTCACAAATCAAAAGAATCGGGACGAGTCTGCGTTAGCTGGTTGCAACTCAGCTATCCTGTCTGGCTTGGCAGGAATAGCGTGGGGGGGGGGGGGGGGGGGGGGGGGAAGGAGCCTCAGCCCCGTTCCCCATTGGCGTTGTTCACACGTCCTCTCTCTTTCGTTGTCAACACGAACTGAATCATGAACTGAAACTTACCAAACCCAGTTCTCTTCTCAAAGCAAACTTGTGCTTCAGAGCAAATGTGTTTTGGAGTTTACTGTGAGAGTTTGTGTGTGTGTGAGTGTTTGAGTGAGTGTTTGAGTGTGTGAAGGTCGTTACCAAACATCCTCAAACATTATTTAATTAAGTATGGATTCATTAGTTCATTATGATTACCCAAAGCATAATAATCACTCATTTGAATAAAACACATTTATAATGAGCAAAATGATAATTCAACATTTAAAATAAAGAAAAGGAAGTTTAACTTTGTTATGTTATGACTGGCTTCCATGGGAACAACATCTTCTGGCACTGCAGGTGTTCAGATGTTATGGTTTGCAGCAGACTCTTCCAGACTTGATGTCTGCAAAGGTCTTACTCTGTAGGTTAAAGTTCTGCGCAATCCAGATTTGACCCAGCCGGGCCAAATGAACCTTTGGCACAGAAAACCCATATTTCCCATATTTCCTCACGTGAGATCCACAAGGCACTTTGCATTGACCATTTATGGCAGAAAGTGGGCGTGGTGAGGGCGGGATGCGACTAAAATGCAGCTGAGAAACATTCTCGTTAAGTTTCCGATTTATGAAGCGGGGATTGCGTGCAGCTGTGCGTACTCCATGTTTGATAGATCACAAACCTACTTGGTGTAAGTACATTTTTTTTGCTGAGCTTCAATACGGTTTTAGTAAGGATTCTACTCAATGTTTGATAAATGAGACCCTGGTTCATTAAGCCATCAAAAAAAGTTTCCTATATAAGGAACCCAGCATGTTGCTTCGAGTCACTGACTAGTGTCAGAGTATTTACAGCAATCCTCATACTAAGCAAGCATGCAGCGACAGTGGAGAGGAAAACTCCCTTTTAACAGGAAGAAACCTCCAGAGGATCCTGGCTCAGTATAAGCAGCCATCCACCACGACTCACTGGGGATGGAGAAGACAGAGCACACACACACACACACACACACACACACACACACACACACACACACACACACACACACACACACAACATATATACCAAGTAATGTTTCTATGGTTACATTGTGATTTCATAGTAAATATTCTATTTGGTGAGAGATAAACATTATTGTATTTATCCTAGTGAATCTATAATTAAACGGGTAAACTAGTAGTAGCACATTCAATGTCAAGGAAAGTAAATTGTTATTATCAGGAGAGGGAGAATGTTTAAGTGGTTAGCAACAGTGCTCAAGCCGATAGCCCCCTCCATGAGGCTACCACAGACAATCCCCCAAGGTACTTTACAATCCACCAGTCATTCCCCCATTTACACACACACATTCACACACTGATTATGATGAGCTACACTGTAGCCACAGCTGCCCTGGGACACACTGACAAAGGCGAGGCTGCCAAACACTGGCACCACTGGTCCCTCCAACCACCAGCATGCAAGCAGGACCTTGACAATAGATACAACAACTGCAACAGACTGAGTGGCGCTAGAACCTGCAACACTCCAGTTATGGGGTGGCCACTAAACTCTTCTGCCACCAGAGACGGACTAGCCATTGCAAGCACCGGGACATTTCCCATTCACTGCTGAACTGGCCCCCTCTGAGATTCGATGTTGATGAATCTAACATCTTCAGGACATCGTTCAGGTTTCCCAGAAAACAAAGAGAGGGGAAGTTGGGATATGATATTTCAGACACTTTGACAGGTCTTCACATACTCTACCCCAAATTCCTGAACAGGTGGACTGGGGTGTCTGATCATTTTAAAAGTTTTTAAACAAGTCTGGGACCAGAAGTTCTGGTCAAAGCTGACTGATAGATCCACCCTCCGATTTTTCAATAGGGATTGCTATTCTATTGTCTATTTTGGACAGTGTCTTATATACTTTAGACAGTAGTTTGGGGTGTTTGAGATTACAGAAGTCTAATACCCTTGGTGCTGTTTGTAATTCTACTTTATTGAGCTTAAATTTTTGTTTAACTGCAGATTTAATTTGGTGATATTCTAAAAAGCTATTCTTCTCTATTCCAAATTGGGAGACTATTCTGTTAAATGGGATGAAGTCCAGTCCTTCATATGTGTGTTCCAGGTATAGGATTCCCTTATTTTTCCAGTCCAGAAGGTTCATCATTTTGCTATTTTGCAAAATATCAGGATTATTCCAGATGGGTGTGCGTCTGCATGGTATTAGTGAAGACTCCGTCATTTTTAGATATTCCCACCATGCTAGAGATTATTCATAAAACCATCCGACACAATGGAGCAGAGTCTACGAACCCTTGTGTGACGGTCGCTCTGGGTGGTTCGGAAGGAAGGCAGCACGAGTGCTGAGTTCACCGGACGTCGTGGCTACAGGAATATCAAAGAGTCGCAGTTTCCTTTGAATTCAGATATCACTGGCCATGAGATGAGACCAGGGTCTGCAAGTTAGACGTTTCACGTCTGAGGTGTAGTAGCATCTGAAATCACTCTCAAGTGTTGCAGAGAGGCTTTGATCGGCTGAACCAGGAGGCATTTGGAGAACCGAGGAATCAGGAAGTGATTCCTGTATTTATCAACATTTTTGTTGATACATTTAGACAAATCAGAATTTGACAAGTTTAAAAGCGTTACCAAAGACCTCAGAGAATCACTACCTCACTCAGATACTTAGAGGTTATTTCTTACAGTGAAGTGAAAATGTTGTCAGTTATGTGGAGCAAAAATGGTGGAGACATTTGGTTTCAGCTAAGATAAAGGGAATCAGGAGAAGGGTTTATTATGCCTTCCCTTCTTGGCAATAAGTTCGTAGAGCAGTGTGTTTACTGGTTTGGAGACCAGAACAGTTAAGATGTGTCACACAGTACTCCAGGCAGGTGGACCAGCCTGGACACTTCTGTGAGATGACCTCTGACCTTACAGTGGACAAATAACCAAATTGTTGGCATTTGGTACACTACATCTCCCCCCTACCAAGGGCACCGGGTCATGGACAGAAGACCACGAGGCGTTGGACAACCTTAGAGGCCCTGAGCACTCAGCAGAGGAAGACAGAGTTACCGTAGTTATCTGAGGCACCAAAAGCAGCAGGAGTGAGGAAAACCAAACCCTCAAACAGCACAGCAGTCAACATATATCCCAATTAGCAAATTGTAATCCCACTTAGTGAAATCCACAGGCAGGGACCACGATGAGAAGTAAGCCAGAACCATTTGGAGAAGCAAGCCAGACCATGGTAAACCACAGCAAAGCCAGAAGATAGGAATCCACAGAGAACGGTCCAGAACTCCAGAAGAACCAGAACCTGGAACAGGAGGAAGCAGATGCCAGGAGATGGTTGGAGAAGGCAGCAATGTCATTCCCAGTCGACGAGGACATCTGGTGGAACAGCAAAGCATCAAAAACACACACACAGGGCATTTGACCATAGACTCTCACAGATGGTGTCTGATGGAAAAGAACAAATAAAAAAAAACACTAGGACTGCATGTACGCTATACGTGCTATGTGTCTGGAGATCATGTGAATGGAGGTAAGCTGGAAGATGTGGATGTAGTAAACTACGTGTACCGAAAAAGGTGCAGAAATTAACAAACTAAGCAAAACCCTAAATTATATGTAAGGGAAAAATGAAAGCTCGTGAAAGCAATTAACAGAATTAAAAATGGAAGAGAAAATTGATCAGTAGTTCTTAACTGGCATTGAAATCAAAGTATAAAAGGTGTGTGATAAAGAAATCAATGTTAGTCAACAAACTGGAAATGTGTATGTGTTCTTAAACAAACTAATTAAACTGGAAAAATACATGGAAGAAGAAACACAAGAAGTTAATCAGTGTTAGTAATCAAACCCTATATGTTCCAGAAATGGAATTAATGGATTATAAAATAAAACTGAATCACAATATAAAATTCATGAAAAATGTATACAAGTTTTCATCTATCCAGAAACTGAAAAAAGAAAATTAAACTTGGATTCATCTTAACAGTTAGTAGATTTAACCACATTTCACTGTTATGAAACTAGCCGTCAAAGATCGTCAGAAACCCACAGCATGACGACATCAAAGACAGCCAAGTCTGTACGTTATGTTTAGACATGAATTATATCCATGCACACACATACACTCAACAGAACTTGGGCAACTTGAAACAGAGAACACCATACCTGGAGGAAAAATCATCCTCCTTTCGAAGGCGAAGATAGAACCCGAGGTAGAGGCTTGTCGGGCCCAGGTGGAGGCGGAGGGTTACCGGCTGGTGGTGGAGGCGGAGCAGCATTATCCAGAACCACAGGCATCAGAGCCCTGGTTAGACAGTTCCCCAAAAGATGGAACGAGTCCCCCAAGGGGGTCATTCATGCGGAGAAGTGAAGGAATAGGGCAGATGTGGCAAATTGGAGTAACGAGGGCCCGGGCGGGGTTCGATCCCCAGACTCCCGGGTGAGAGTCACGCTCCCTTACCAGACAGCCAAAGGGACATTCTCTTGGCCAAGTAGCCAGGCCGCATGATCAATTGGGATGCTGCGACAGGACGCTCACACTGCCACATCGAGAGGGGAAGATGTGGCAGTAATGTTTGGAGAAGCAGGATGAGCTTGGTGGGTAAAGAAACTGCTGCCATCTTTCAGGATTAAGTTTCAGTTGAGATATTCACGAGGAATCGTGAGATCACACCAGCCACTTTGTGTCCACCTGTGTGTGTGTGATGAATCTGTAATCTGTGCTGTGTGTGAGGGATTCTGAGCTGACTCAGGAGTTTTTATCTCCCAGACTCTCATCAGCTTACTCATCCCTGCCTCTCACACTTTCATGGGGATAATTTCCACTCACACGCCAGACAAGTGTGCTCCTCCTCACCAGAGGGTGTTTTACAGCCATCTTTGATACACATTGGAGCGCATTTCCTGACATTTGATTTTGTAGATGAAGGTCAATGCAACGACAATTCCTGCGGCTTCTTTGAGATTTTAATCTTGTACAAGACAGCTCTGAATTTACTTGCCATTGTTCTTTTTCAGCTTGTTTCTTTAACCCTCTGGAGGCAGGCGTTGCAGATTTGCAACGTTAAAACCTACCTGGTTACTCCACATACGTATTTCACGAGCATTTTTAAACTCAGAAGTATCCCTGAAGGACTTAGTTGTTCGTCCTTTTATCAAAACTTATTTTGAGCCTGAGAGGGTTAAATGCATGTCATGGGAGCTGTCTAGTTCAACTATGTCATAAACACACTTCCATCATGGGGATTTGCTGTGAAGAACAGACTAGATTGCTGCACCCTGAGTAAAGAGAACTTTTAGCTGCTTAATTATGAATTTGGAGACCTGTATACCTCAAATGCAGAATATTAGACCCGCACACACACACACAACAGCTGGCCCACTCGGAGCCCCACCTCTTCTCTCTGCAGGCACTTTAACCTTCCTGCCTTGGTATATATAGTCTGTGAGACTATCAGCGTTCTCCTGGCAGCCATCATGAAGGGTACAGTCTGGATCTGCTCCTACCTCGCCCTGCTGCTTTTGCAGGCCACAGCAGGTAAAACTCTGACACAGTTTATCTAAAGATGTGCTGTTTAACAAGAGGAGGTGTGTTAGGGTGATTGTAGAATAGTTGCTGAATGAGATGGTGATGGTGTGATTTTAGGGACCAGGTCATCATGCAGTGAGAGGTTAGTCAGCGTTTCTGCGTTCCTGAGGGGTTCCTTCACCAGTGACAAACCAGCCAGTACTGGAAAGAAACACCAACATGTTTAAATTGTGTCCCACTTTGCAGCTGACACCAGTTGTAAGTTTGGACACAAGCTTACTTTTAATCAGTGATTTAAACAGAAACATCAGCGAGTTTTGTTGTACGTTTGTCTCATGGTTTGGTGAGTTTCTGGAAGAGTTCAGCTGTATGTCAGCTGTCCAGGGGCATGGCACCAGCTGATGGAAAGTCCTAATCCAGCTGAGGAGAGCGGAATGACCACATGGTTAAACGAAAGGGACACAGATAGACTCATGGTCTCGACTGTTCTTTTTTACGGGAGCTTCATACAAGTTTGCCATGATGACGGGGAGCAGATTGGGGAAATCTAATATTCCAGATGGTTTTTTTTTTTGGTCTTGATTGATGAAGTTATTGTTACCCTTGTCTGTCACCCCTGCCCGTCCTTGGGGTGGCGTTCAGCTCCATAGTCACTAACTAGGCTTCTATATCCCAGCCTTCAGTCAGGTGTCTAAGATTGGAAGACCTGAAACCCAACACTGTCCACAGCAGATCCTCCCTCCCTTTTCTCAACCTCCTCCGCCCTCCGCGCCAAATGTTTAACCTCCCCTCTCCAAACGCCACGCTTCACTTTGGACATGCTGCACAGCTGCTGTCACTCTGCACTGTCACAATTGCAATTTATTCCCAGCAGCCGGCCTTTTAGGGACATGCATTCTCCAGGCAGGAGGGGCTGCAGCTCATGTTTTCACAGAGCCCCCTGAGTGCCCGTGCAGGTGTGTTTTGGGTTCCTCCTGGATTCTTTAACACTCATGTAATTGTGTTCAGTTGGATTTCTGTCAGGATCTTGCATTAACCCTTTGGTGCATAATGGTCACTACAGTGGACAGGTACTCAAAATTGTTATTTATTTGTTTTTGCTATTAAGCACAACTGTTGAAGACTTTATTGCATTTGAGCCCCTCCATTTGGACTTCAGTAAGTCAAGCCAACATATTTCATGCTCAGAATGCACGCTGCCCACTGAAGTGGACGTGTAATAAATTATTTGTAAATTATAAAATTTTACAAAAAATGTTTGTTGAAATTTGTTTCATTCACACCTAAAGACAAATGAAAAAAATTGTTTAAAAAAATCATGGTTGAAGATTTCATAATTCATGCATCAAAGGGTTAATAATTAATACCTGAAGGGGTCATCTTCATCAACATCAACAGGAAACAAATTCACCGTCTCTTCTGCAGACTGTCTCTACGCACTGGGTGAGAAAGTGTTAGTTTAAATGGAGGAGCCAATAATAGCTGCTGCTTGACATTCTCACTGGCATTATCTGCTAATGACTTAACTAACGTGCAACATATGATCTGTCATGTTGACATGATGGGGTGCACTCTAGTGGACTTAACTTGTCAGATCTCCCTCAGGAAAAGGAAAACATAATATAAAAGTGTCCCCTCTTGTAAGTTTGATGACTCCATGGTTTATAAAGCCATGAAAAGTGCTTTATTATTTCTTGACGAAGCAAAATGGGCAAAAAAGGAAGAAATAGTCATTCCACTCTTAAAGATCTGTAGTGACATAGTGATGGTTCCTCGCTCTAAGTGCAGCTCATGGGGGGACCATGCCTTTTCAGTGTTGGCTCCTATGCTTTGGAACCAGTTGCCTTAGTTGAAGGTTTTTAAGTCTCTTATTCTTTTTACTGTATTTTATCGTCTGTTTTTAACTTCCTTTAAATTTTTCTTTAATGGTTTTACATTTGTCACATTTGATTTGCTGGTTTTTTATAGTATATTTGTGACGTGTTTCAGCACCTTGGCCGTCCGCTTCGGTTGTGGAATGGGCTTTAAAAACAAATAAGTGAAATGACATAATCAATGTAAACATGAAAAAGAAAATGTAGTATTTATTTTTCTCTCTTTGTTTTATTGCCTTTGCTCAGATTTTAGGACTAAAGCATTTATTTACTAAAGCATCTTTAGTGAGTTTTTCTGCATCTAAGTCGTAAAAGTAGAAAAAAAAAAGATGTTCGGTCAAATTTAGACAACGGGACAACCGTAAGAGATATATGTTATAATTATGCCCTTGCTTGTCTTCCAGGGCTTTGGTATCACTAACCTGACCTTTTCACCTTAAGATCTACCAGATTAATTGTTTTATTATTATTTATATCTTTGACAAAGCATGAATTTGCTGTATGGATTAGCTTTCATTAAATAGCCAACGTGGCTCTAAATTATGGGCATCCATGAATGAAAGGATGAAAAAATAATTCTACATATTTTCCACATTTCTATCCAACTCGAGCTACATTTACTGCAGCTCCTCCTGAGTATAAAGAAAGCCTGAGCCACTTTTTAACCTGATTTTCTTAATATATAAGAAATGTAAATGTTGTCATTTTAAACTAAATATGGAAAATACAAACTCAGACTGTTATAAAGCAGTGGTAGCCAAGCGTAATACAAAATGCATTGAAGAGATGCACCCTCACATGTCATGTGAGAATCTGGTTATCGTAGATCATTTATCTATTTCCTTGTCCGGGTTCAACCTGCACAAAACTCACACAGTCGCTCTCTTTTATCCAAATCTGGTCAAATATAGTTGTTGTTTTTGATGTGCTACAGAACAATTTGTGTCAGAGATACATTAAAATTAATCATTAATTAAATTAAATTAAATTTCATTTTATTTTATTTTTTGTTTTATTTTATTTTATTTTATTTTTTGTTTTAATTTTTATTTTATATTTTATTTTATGTTTTATTTTATTTTCTTTTATTTTTTATTAATGGATACAATCAGAAATGCTAAAGTCTTTTTCTCCTCCTCAGGTCTACTATGAAAGTTGCAGGTTGACCAAAATGCCTGATTGTCTAGAGTTCAACTGTTTAAAACAAATACTAACAATGATGATTAAAAGATCAAATTTGCATTTATAAAATTCTTATTTTATATTAAAAATAAGACAAAAGAAACACAGATACCAAAAACATTTTAGAGAGGAGAGATCAAAAGTTAAAATGATTCTCTCTGAATGATCTCATGTTGGGGACATCCCTCCGGAAGAGGGAACACATCAGTGAACTAAATGACATCAAGAGACAGTCCCAAGGACACTGGACATCCTCTGGAGGTGTTTGAACTTGGATGTTAGCACCAGATCAACACCCAGGAGTAAAGCCCCTTTGACCCCATGCCTTTCCATAAGCATCCTTGCTTCTTAGAAGACTAAGTTGAAAACAGAGCAGGGTTAACAGGCTAAAATAAGTAATAGATTACATTAAAATGTATTTCTAACGTAATATACACCGCCCGGCCCAAAAAAGTTGCCACCTAGATTTTACTTAGCAAATAGATATGACTGTTAGATAATTACTGCATGGGTGATTATCTTTCAGCTGGCAACAAGGTATTTAACCCCAACTAGTGCAATGAGTTGTTTCTCATTTCTTTAACAACAATGTAGAAAGACACATCTGGTGGTCATTGAACAGATGTTAGCTTGTTTGAGAAGGGTCAGATCATTGGCATCAAGCAGAGAAAACATCTAAGGAGATTGCAGAAACAATTAAAACTGGTTTAAGAACTGTCCAACGCATTATTAAAACTGGTCTGATGAGTCCTGATGGACCCTGTTCCAGAGTGATGGTGCATCAGGGTGAGAAGAGAGGCAGATGAAGTGATGCACCCATCATGCCTAGTGCCTACTGTACAAGGCTGAGGGGGCAGTGCTATGATCTGGGGTTGCTGCAGTTGGTCAGGTCTAGGTTCAGCAGGATTTACTCCAAGAATGAGGTCAGCTGACTACCTGAATGACAGGGTTATTCCATCTTCCCTGATGACACGGACATATTCCAAGATGACAATGCCAGGATTAATTGGGCTCAAATAATGAAAGAGTGGTTCAGGGAGCATGAGACATCATGTTCACAGATCTTGGTGACATCCAAGCCTCAGACATCCAGAGGTCCCTCCAGAGCATGGAGACCCCAAGGAGATCGCCATAAGGGCAGCCGCCACCAAAAACAACGCTTCAGTTCTCTGTTGGATGTGAACATCTTTCGAGTCTCCACACTGACTAATGGTCAAAATCCTAAAATAGGCAGCAGTCATCCTTCCTCCTCTTTCTGCTCGTCTGTCCATCTTCTGGACTATTGTGGGGCTATTTCTGACCCCGTGGGAGCACCAGCTTCACAAGCTGTGCCACCTGTTGGCATCTATGACGTCCTTTCACTGCAGTGAGCTCCAGCTCTGCTAACTGTCCACTCTTTACACTCACTTTAAAAGAAATCGTGTCCTTTCAGGTGTAAAAAAATAAAACATTTTTGCATTCTTTGTTTTTGTCCAGTGTGTCAAAGGCGTTGCTCTTATTTCAAATTGAGCATGAAAATTGTGTTTACGCTGAATATTAAAGCTTTTTATTTTGAAGCTTTGAGATTTGATTCAGCAGAAACTGTTGATCGTTTAAGGGACCTCCTGTCTTTGGTTAAAGCTACAGACTTAATTTAGGCAGACGATCTGAATGTATAACATTTACTACACACGTTGAAAAGTACATAACTGCAGTTAAGTACCAGAATGCGCATTAGGATAAACCTTGCGGTTGATCTTCTAAATTCAGCCTGTTCTGTCATGCACCTTTAGTGTTTTCACACTCTGGCTTTTGGAATTGATTTCTTCATTTCTCTGTGGTCTGCAAATGGATTCTATATTTTAGGCATGACCTATGCATCCAAGAGTCAACGCTCAGCTTAAATCGGCAACAATCCTGCAGAACGACCACATGCCATCAGCATGTTTCCCCAAACTGAGGGAGGGTTGTGAGGCAACCAGCTCAGCGAGGACACACAGCTCAGACTGCAGATGTCCAGGGTTCAGCTCTCCTGGCGCCTGCAGGGTTAATTTTGAGCTGTGATGCATGGTCCGTTGTCCCATGGCAACATTACCTCTCTGATCTTTGTAGAGCTCTGCAGCAGGGCCTCCAGGGGCCGACTGGTTTGGGAAGGTGTTAACACTTTCACAGCAGTTAGGCACACTCAAGGAGCTGGTGATAAAAGATACGACTCTTCTGAAAGGCGAAGCCGGTCGAACAAGCTTTAGTTAGCTCTGAGTGCTCAGCGTGGAGGAGCTGGACGCTGCCACTTCAGCCCCTAAGTGGAATCTCGACTGTTCTGTTGTGACGGATGAAGCAACTCTTCAGGCTTTTTCCATAATCGGTCAGAAGAGCTGATCTAACAGAGAAAATCTCTATAACTGTGTCCAATAGCAGTCACGAATGTAGACTTTTAAGGAACTGCAAATGAATAAAATTCCACCTGGACAATTCTCAAGTTTTTCATGCAGGTTATTTAGAATCTTAGCACATTTATTTTTAGTCTTTCTCAGATCAAACTTTCTCCTACCGTGCCTTCTAGACATGCATCATTGGATTGGATCATTGGATCTCACTGTAGTGCAGGAGCAGGAGGGTCTTCTCCCACTCAGGTGTAGCTGGGATCATTGTTTGATCATGAGGATTCAAGTTGGGTATTTCAGAAAGATGCAGGCAACTTCTTATTTATTGGCCTTATCTTTATTTAAAACAGAACAAAAAGCCATCTGCTGTAATGAAACAACTATGGAGGTGTTTGACCGGATAACAGATTTCTTCCAGATTGTCTTAACCAGACTATATTTTGACAGAAGTATACAAAGTGTATCCCAGATGCCTCCGTGTCATGTCCAGTTCTCGTTAGATCAGATGGCTGTGCTTGAAGCGCCGAGGCACACAGACGCCCGTTGCTCTCTGACCCTGCATGCAGGCTGGCTGTAGACATCATGGGGCTTTACAGTGGAAGTTAGATCAGGTTGTAGTTATGAGAAGAGGTTACAGGTTTATCTGTGCCGTACTGTTTGCCGTTTCAGTAAAAGGAGTAAACATCTGGTAAAAGGGAAAACAGGTACACGACGAGTTTTACAACTAAGTGTTAATCTGTGCTCTAAATAGTTTTAAAATGTCCCTACAAGGGTCTTCAAAGACATTGACACTGTCAACAGGGAGGGTTTCTAACTGCTCCATTGTATAAATGCAGGTCTGTGTGGGGGAGTGGCACAGATTGTCCTGAAGCCTGGACAGACAAGGACAGGCCTCACCACCTGAGAAGTCTGTGGTTGGTGGACAAATATAGTGTGACCAGTCCCAGGATCATTGTCTCTATTACTGAAGGGAAACTTCATCAGCTCCAGTCTCTGAGAACCCGGGGAAGTCCCTGAATGTGTCAGGCTTTAATTCGCTGTGTGTCGCAAAGCCCATGGCGATGCCGCGTCTTTGTGTGTTTATTTTCAGAGTTTGCTTTCTAAATTAAGAACTGATTGTACTGACAGCTGTTATCAGATGAATCTGATAGGTTCAAAAGAGGACATGACTAGTGAGCAAATATGAGCCCTCAGATTCTCTGCCACTAACTTTTACACACATGAACACCCGGGTCAGAAAAGCGAACGTGTTCATGTCTGAGTATTCTTCGCCGTGGACTTCATTAGGCATTTCCTACAAAACCTGTCTCATACGTGAATTATGAACAGCAGATCAATCCATCCATCCATTGTCTGAACCCGCTTTGTCCACGCAGGGTCGCGGGGGGAGCTGGTGCCTATCTCCAGCGGTCAACGGGCAATCAGGCGGGGTACACCCTGGACAGAGAGCCAGTCCATCGCAGGGTAACACAGAGACACACAGGACAAACAATCATGCACACACACACTCACTCCTAAGGACGATTTAGACAGACCAATTAACCTAACAGTCATGTTTTTGGACGGTGAGAGGAAGCCGGAGTACCCGGAGAGAACCCACGCATGCACAGGGAGAACATGCAAACTCCATGCAGAAAGATCCCAGGCCGGGAATCGAACTCAGGACCTTCTTGCTGCAAGGCAACAGCTCTAACCACTGCTCCACTGCGCAGCCCGAACAGCAGATCCATAACGCTTATTAAAATACATTCATTCTGCTTCTAAGAACAATAATAACATATTTATGTTAATGAAGTCTATATGGGTGGGCTAACTGGCTGAGAGAAGGCTGGGAGTTATTAGCCTGCAGGTTTTGTGTTCAGATCATTAGAATGAAGTAAAACTAGCAAAAGTCAAACACAAACAAATGAATGTTTCGTCTCCCTCTTGTCTTTGGATGGATTTGTGTGTTCTGTCTCCTGTTTCTGATGATGGCACACAACAGAGATCTACACCGAGAGCTTGGTCTCACTTAAAGTTGGTTGAGTTTTCTCCTTTTTCTTGTTGTCTCTTTATTTTTTAGAAGAGGACGATTTCAGCTCTGTCCTCAGAGACAGATCTCACATCGATGAGACGCTGCGGCTGGCAAATGAGGAAAAAGCAGCAGATTATGCAGGTGAGATGGAAAAACTAATTTTTACCGACATGTGACGTATCTCACTAGTTTCTCAAGACAAGGACCTGTATGTACACTGTGATCTCAAAACTGGCCCTAAATATTCTATTCTATTCTATTCTATTCTATTCTATTCTATTCTATTCTTATTCAAGATGTTTGCATCTACAGTAGGTCAGTGATTCAGATATGAGAATCATATGTAATTCTGAGCTCTATTTTCTTTCCTCTTTTTTTCTGTTTCTATTTTCAAAATTTCATTATTATGATTTTACTAAGTTTATTATGAAATTAAAGACTGAAAAAAATTGGGCAAAATAAACCAGCACTTAATGCTAAGATGCTATTTTTCTATTTCCATTAAAACTATGAAGTGGATCAGATAAGGATTCTGATTGGTGTACAGAAATAAACAGCAATCGAGTATATTTAACCACAGGTAAATACCATAAGGTGAGGCCTGAGAGGAAACAAAAGCTGATTTTTGGGGGTGATGTTACGTGATGTGTTCCAGCGGCCATACAGAGGCTGAGGAAGGTCTACCACACGTCCATCAAACCAATGGAGCAGGCCTACAGGTACAATGAGCTGAGGCAGCACGAGATCTCAGGTACGTTACCGTTACACGTGTGTCTTTGTCATTTGCCTCCCTCTCTTCTGTCCTGCGATGTATTTTCTGTTTGGGTGTTTAGACTTTTTTATATTGTGCATAAGCTTTCTTCACTTAGGATTTTTGTGAGTTTAGAAACATTTATCTGTATTATGCAGTTATTGGTATCACACCTGTGATCTCACATAAATGCACTCATTTTATTCTCTGTAAACATTTTTATTACTTTAGTCATCACATCATTCTAATCTCCACAAGAACGTCTCGTTCTTTTGTTTGTTTGTTTTTCCTCTTGTAGTTTAGCAGATTTAATTTGCACGCAGAAACATTTTATTTCTACCTTGTTTGTAAAACAAAAATGCTCTTTTTGCAAAAGAAAGTAAAACTATGTGATTCCCTGACCACTTGGCCACATTATCCTCATGCCGGCGGACATGTTTGACGAGCTGCGAGTCAAATATGTTACAATGAATTCCAGTCATGACCTCTCACTCATTCATGAACACTCTACCCTTCCTCATTGCTTGTAGAAACCTTACACCCTTACCCTTACTGAGCTTTCCTTCACCTCTCTGTACTCCACCTCTCCTGTCCTCCCCTCACCCCCTCTCCCTCCATCTAACAGCATACCCCGGACGAACCCTGGGGGACTCAGCCACAGGTGGGTGCAGGCAGGCCTTGCCTGTGCATGGCACTGCCTGACGTGCTAAGCCCCTTCCTATCACCCTTCATTGTTTCCTCATAAAGTGGCTTTCTGGTGGTCAAATTATGTCAAATGCACTTTGTTTTGAGTAAAAAGGTACAAGTACCTGAATTTGGTTGTATCAAAGTCTAGAGAAGCTCTTTATCTGGCCACTTCAAAGTCTGCCAGTCATTTCCCTTCGGGGAAAGGGGGTGGGGTGGGGGTGGGGGGTGTTCAATCTACAGAAAGCTGCTTTGTGAAACATTATGATTAATCCAAAGGGGAGGACAGTGAAGTGGATATTTGGGTGTGGTTTTTAATTGCGTTAAAACTAAGGAGAGGGGTGCATGTGCAGCTTGTCTTTAGCTAACAGCACGCCCGTCTGAGGGGTGGGGGGACAGGGTGGTTTCATGTTTGTTGTGAGGGCATATTAGCATCAGAAAAATGCCTTTGGAAGGTTCAGTTGCATGTGGAAGAGCCATGTTGAGCAAAAACCGTTTGGCTCCTCCTCCTCATGATAGTCTCATTTTGGAAAGGCATCTGGGACGGAGCTGTGGGTCAAGCCCAAACAGCATGCCCAAGTTGATCCTATAAGTCAGGGCTATTTCATTCCAGGCCTGGAGGGCCAGTATCCAGCACGTTTTAGTGGTTTCTCTGCTCCAAAGCACTTTATTCAGTGGTTGAATCACCTGTGAAAAGCTCATCAGGCTCTGCAGAAACCTGTTAATCGCCAGCTGATTGAAATCAGGTGTGTTGAAGCAGGGTTAAAACCTGCTGGATACCAGGCCTCCAGGCACAGAGGAGAATACCCCTGCAGGTGTTCAGTTGAGTTGAGTGGTCATTCCGTCCATTTCATTCCCAAACTCTGAAGGAACTCCTGGGTCTATCATCCAGGAGGATCGTCAGACCCAAGAGCCTGAGACAGGGATTGCCACTGACATCTGACATCATTAACATCCTACGTGTCTGTGCATCAGGAGCCAGTCAGATGTCAGTCATTTTTGACAAAGCTAGAAGATAAAAACAAAAGTGAATCCCAACAGGAAAATGTTGGAGTGGATTTTAAAACGCGTGTGTTGCTGATTCCACAGACTCCGTGTTTCTAGGTACAGCTGACTAGTAATCAGGCGCTCCAACAAACAGAGATTGGTTTTTAAAGGTTGGACTGAAATAATGTTTCCAAACTTTTTGAGGAGTTAAGTTTTATTTAGTTCATCTGTTGAATATTTTTATGGCATAAACTATGCTACCCTCCCCCTCCAAACCACATCCACTCAGCTGCTCCAAACCTTCGTTAAGAGTGATGTTTTTGTTTAAAATACAGCTGCATGTTGTACCTGGCTCTGTGCTGCTATTCTCTACACTTCAGTTTCATTTGATGAAATTACTTTTATTCTTGTTGCTTCTTCTTCTCTTGCCAAGGTTTATCTGGGTCGTCTGTAGTTTTTATATCGTGTTTTCAGTTAAACCTCATTTCTCAAAGAGTTTGGATGCTGTAGAAAATATCAAAGATGACATTAATGCCCTGTCCACACGTAGCCGGGGATCTGCCAAAACGTAGATATTTTTCTACGTTTTGGCCTGTCATCCACACGAAAACGGAGTTTTTTCACACGAAAACGGATCTTTTTAAAAACTCCGGCCAAAGTGAAGATCTGCGTTTTCTCCGTTTTGGGTGTCTGCGTGTGGACGGACAAAACCGGAGTTTTAAGGTCCGCAACGTCACTTTCCGCGACAAAAAATGCTGACATCACGTGTGCGACCTGTGTTTACACTAGCCGGCATCACGGAAGCCTTCAGAGCTGCGCTCTGTCACTACCCGATCCATCAATTGTCCAAGCGCTTTCTGCTTGTTTGTTTTTGCAAGTGGAATTACTGCTCCTTGCGGAAGACCACAGACGAAGGACGAGGTTAAGACCGGGGGAAGTACTGCCGCCTACAAGTCTGGCATGTCCTTAACAACGTATTTATCCGGATATGTGTGGACAGAGTTTGTTTTTAAAACGCGGTGGTGTGGATGCAGGTTTTTGGAGGGGCGGATATTCGTTTTCAAAAAACCCCGGCTATGTGTGGACCAGGCCTAAGTCTACGGAATTATCCCACGTTTAAACACATTAACTGATTAAAGGTAGAGCAAGGATCTTTTTCTTCCGGGTGGATCATCTGAACCATTGGTCTGCTTAACTGTCAATCATTCTGGCGAACCATTCACGCAAGGCCGTCGTCATACGTCGTCGTACGTTGTTGTATACGTTGCTGGGTAGTTTTCACTTCCTGCGCATGAGCAAAGCGAAGGTTGGGCTTCCCACAGACACCTCTGTTGCCGGTTTTCTGCTCGACAGGTAAGCTAAAGTTCAGCATGGAGAAATTCATTTCAGATTACTGCTTGAAGAATTTGGCTGCAAGGCCGGCAGCTTAACTGGGCGTGCTTTCTCATGCACATTTTTTTTCCAAAATGAGGAGAGGGCGGTTCTTTTCTGAAACTCAGAAACATCCTCCGCTATACCTTTAATTTTGAATCAATGGTTCGCTCTAAACCAGGTATCCTATAAGTGTCTCGCTCCTGTCAGCGTGCCCCAGGCCAGCTGTCTGTCATCACCATGACTATGTGAATGGATGAACTGTAGGGTAAAGTGCTTTGGGGGCCCCAGACTCAGAAAGGTGCTGTAGAAGTTCAGGTCATTCATCATTTATTTGCAGCCATCTGAGTTATTTTGTGCAGCCTTCACTTACATTTCACAAACGGTGGACCTTTGCCCCTCCAGCAGCTGTTGATCTATCCTTTTTAACATATTTTTGTTCTGGCTTTTTCTAATAAGAAATTTTCACACCTTTATGAGCAGTCCAAATAAAATTATTCACCATCAAATAATTTTGCATTTTTTATTTAACGTTTTCTTGACCTGTGATGATGAATTTGGCCCCCGGCTGGAAAAGTGTGGACACCCGAGCTCTAAACATCTTGTTGTTTTCTGAAAAACAAACAAATAAAAGGGCATTTGGGAGCTGATGAGGCTGTTTCAAGATTTTTAGCTTTGACTGATTTTTGCCTAAGTCTTTTGTTTTTGCATATTTTTATTTTATGGACTTCTCATAAATAACAGATAAGTGCTTCAGCTGTCTGAAGTCTTCTGTTACATTCAGCCCACTTGTTCTTGAGGCATTAAACATAAACTTTATATTAATTGGCCACTAAGTGTGCAGGAACAAAACAAAAAGATTCTGAACAAGTAAAAATTTTCCACATGATTTGCTGAATGTCTGTGTCTCACCATTAATGACACGAGCCAAACCATGAAAGGACATTTTCTTGTTATTTTTTTTTTACAAATTTTGCAGTAATAATAATAAAAAAAAGATTCTGTTTAACCAAGAAAAAATAAATTCAACAGATACACACTAACAATAGAGAATAACAGAGTTAGTTATCTTTTCTAATTACTTAAAAACTGATTATGTTGTCTTGAGACCGAACTTAAAAAATAGCATTCTGGTTTCTTTCTCCTCACAGAGAATAAAAATTCAAACCGTTTTTATTTTTCCACCAACAGAACACAAATAAGATCAACATTTTATTCAAATGAACAAGTTCAGTTGAATTAAATAATCTGATGTAATTTTCTGTGACAGTTTAAGGCTCTACAGTCCAAATAATTAGGGATTTAATCTTTATTCCAAGTATTCTGATATTTAAAAATATTTTTTCTGTAAGTGGAGGAAAAACTGAAAAATGAGGTGATGCTCCTTAAAAAAGAAAGAAAGAAAACAATCTTTTATATAGCGTTTCTCAAGATAAAATTGACAAGGTGCTTCACAAAAACAACTAATTTAAAATATAAAAAAGAAATATAAAAAAATGAATAAAAATATGTTTAAAACGACAGAAATTTTAAATTGTGATTAAAAATGTAAGGAAAGGGAGAGAGAAAATTAATAGGACAGAGGGAAATCAGTAGATCCCGGGAAAGGCGGAATAAGAGCAGAATAAGGAGAGGGTGGTGATGAAGGACAAGCAATAGCCAGCTTGAACAGGTGAGTTTTCAGCTGCTTTTTAAAGGAGACCACTGAGTCCACTGTTCTCAGGCTCAGGAGGTCAGGTCCTGACATGTATGCTGCCGGGAAGAAGGCGGGAACATGCGGCAGTGCTTGGCCCAGGCTCAGGGGCCTCGGATAGACCTTGGCTCCTCTGCTGTCCCATCACGAGGGAGGGGGATGTCCAGGAGGGGAGGACCCAACCTTACCAGGATGTCCCTTGTCTTATATATTCTGGAAGCTGTGTAAATGCAGGGATGGGAGTAGATATTCATGGACCCCATTTCCGCATTCCTGTGGCAACCTGCCCCCCAATTTTATTTGCACATTAATCACCACCAACGACATTCCACGCAAACACACACTTAGGGCCTTGGGAGTGAGCACACAACGGCATTTGGCAAGGGGATCTTTCAGCCTCATCCCAAGTGCCGGTGCCCACTTCCAATTTTAAACTGCACTTAGACACAGAGGGCTGTGGGGGGAAGAGGGGTGGTGTGGTTACATCAGCTGGCGTAGGCCAGACGATGCCTGCACTGCCCGCTCACCACAGCCATGGAATACACCTCATCAACACGCACCAACACTGTGTTGGAGCAGGCGGAGGGAGACTAGGGGTCTTAGCACACCTCTGTTGTTGCTTGGCTTCCTGGGGCTGGAGGATAGGAGGGGGATCTGGCTGTCTGGTTGGGGTCTGGGGTGGTGGGTCGCTTTGCTCGGTGTTGGGCAGGGGGGGGCTCATCAGCACCCCAGCAGAAAGGGTCGAACTCTGGGAACCGGTGATGGTTGTACCCTTGTGCAGCAGTACCGGGACCAGTGTGAATAGGGTGTTTATGGGGAGCATGAGTGGGTGTCTTGAGTGCATTTTTGTAAGTCTTAGGTTGTATGTGTATGTATGAGCATGAGGGAGGGAGTGTGTGACTGTGTCTGTGTATGACTGTATATGTCAGGTGGGGCCTTTGACTCCTCCCCTCTCCTGGGACTTCTTTTGATGCTATACATCTTCGCCTCCCCTCCCCCTGCCACACTAGGTGTGGAGTGTGGTGCCTCAGTCTCCCTGAGTGTTCGTGGCTCCCGGGTCAGGGAGTTTAAGATTTTTGGCATCTGCCTGATTAATACGGGTAGCTGCCTGGTGGGATCTGAGTCCCTGGGCTCTGTTGGGTCCCCAGCGGTGGTGGTCGCCCCTGGGTCCCGGGTCGCTGGGTTCCGGGTTCGGCCGGCTTGGGGGTGGGAGGCTGCGGGCGGGCCTGGGATTGCTGCTGATATCCCCCAGGACTCTGCCAGCTGCTGGTTGTGACCCCCCGGGGCAATCCTCTGCGCCTCTCGAGGGGGGCAGGGGCTTTTCTGGTCGCAGTCTCCTTGGGGTCCCTGCGCTCTGGGGCAGCTCCTGGATCTCTGAGACTTGGAGCTCCTTCCAACTCCTACACATCTTTTTTTGGGGGGAGGGGGGGGGGCAGATATGTGGCCCCTCACATTCTCTATTGGATGCTCCTATAGAGAAACCTTACATAAACAAGCGCGTGTACACACACAGGTGCTCACATGGTGCTCTCATAAGTATGGACTTGGGCACGTTCAACACATGTCTTAAGGCTGTGGTTGACACTTAATGCACTGTGATTTATTATCATTTGATTGTTCAGTAAAACAATGTTGATTTTATATCTCCTCATCAGGTTGACGCAGTGATAGTTTGCTCCTGTTGTATTGTTGTGTACCTTTTCATTTTTTCTCCCTCTGCAGGTCTAGAAGCAGACTCTTTTTTTTTCATCTTTGACTGTTTATTTTTGTGGATCCCCCCCCCCCCCCCCCCCCCTTGTCTCTTCCTTTCTCTTTCACCTCTGTGTCTGGTCAGAATTACAAGCATTCAAAAAAACAATAACAATAAATTTTAAGTGTCTGGCATGACATTGAAACCAGAAGCTTTGATGCTCCACCTGAGAGTAAAGATGTAAGGCTTGTCACAAGCATTCAGACATCAATTCTGTTTGCTTCACAGCCAGAAAGGACACGGGAAAAAAAGCAAATGATCTGTCACCTTTGGTCTTTAGCCTGGTGCACTGCACAACCAGTATGCTTTGGTCACTGGACCTCAGGGACCTGCTGGGGGTGTAGGGACAGAGATTATCACCAATGAATGACGGTGGTTGTCCATGAAAGGCCCTATAGACCGGAACTAGGATCTTGAAATGAACCCTGAAGTTGACTGGCAGCCAGTGAAGCTGGAGGAGAAGCGGGGTTGATGTGGGTGTGTTTGGAGGACTTGGTCAGAAGCCGAGCACAGGCATTCTGAACCACCTGTAGACGGTTCAGGGAGGTTCTGCTCAGACACGTGAAAAGAGTTACAGTAGTCTAAGCGTGAGGAGATGAAGGTGTGGATAACTGTCTCAAGTTCAGAGCGGGACAGAATGGGACTCAGCTTAGCAATGTTCCTGAGATGGAAGAAGGAAGAGTGAACAAGAGAACTGACATGAGAATCCGGGGTGAGAGCTGGGTCAAAGGTCACACCAAGATTCTTCACAGAGGGATTGGTGTGAGAAGCAAGCTGACCAAGAGTGTTTCTTACTTTAGGAACCAGCTTGTCTGGGGCCTGTATGAGGATCTCAGTTTTGTCTTCATTCAGCTGTAGAAAGCTTTCAGCCATCCAGGTTTTGATAGAGTCTAAGCAGGAATGTAACAGCTGCAGCTTAGACATCTCATGGGGCTTAAAGGAGATGTACAGTTGGATGTCATCTACATAAAGATGGTAGGAGATTCCTTTGAAGAAGCTCAGGATTTGCTGAAGAAGAAGCAGATAGAGGAGGAAGAGTAGCGGCCCCAGCACAGAACCTTGTGGGACACCATGAATGAGGGATGAGGTGGAGGACCAAAACTTGGAGAAGGCCACAGAGGAGCGCTCAGACAGATATGAAGAGATCCACTCCAGAGCAGATCCTGTAGCTAAACTGCTACAGTGAAAGATAAAAAAGCTTTTACCTTCAGTCCTGTCAGAGTCTATTTTCTTTCAAATGCATCAATTGTAATATGTACTTATTAATAATTTCATGTTCTGTGCCACTATAACATCATCCTTCAGGTTAAATTCAAAGATGTTTCTGATTGTGTTCATTTTAATTTAACTTATTTTATTGGGTGGGCTGTGTTTTAACTGTGGTGTGCTTCAGAAGGGTTTGTAAACCTTTAAGAGGTTTTCAATGGTTAATTGTGTCCTCTAAAAATTACAGAGCTAACAATAAAATAGCATCTTGACCAGTTATATAAAGGCAATGTAAATGTTGCCTGCTTTACATTTTACACAGCATCTTGACATTTTTACAAATGGAATAGAATTATTAAACTGGAAACCCATCAGATGACTCAACCAAACATATGCTTACCTTACATTGTACATTTTGGACTACGCCGAAAGTTGTTTTTTTTACACCCAACCCTGTTAAAATAACAATTGCATCCTTTTATCTGACAGATGGAGAGATTACCTCCAAACCCATGGTGCTATTCCTTGGACCCTGGAGTGTAGGAAAGTCCTCCATGATCAATTACCTCCTAGGCCTGAATGACAGCCCTTATCAGCTCTACACAGGTACGTAGAAATATTTGTTTTTTTTTTAAGTTATAATAAACTATCCAAATCCTGAGCCTTTATAAAAATGAACTAACCCTGAAACGTCAGTGAAGATATAAAAATGTTATATTGACTAACTAGATAGAAGAAAAACATCAAAGCCATAGGGCTTTATTCCTTTTTCCATATCTTTTCTCCAAACTTTGCAGAACTTCCTGCTCATTTCTCCTTCTCTTCATCCTGTAGGAGCTGAGCCCACTACCTCTGAGTTTACCGTTATCATGCATGGGGAGAAGATTCGCTCCGTTGAGGGTATTGTGATGGCAGCAGACAGCTCTCGCTCCTTCTCTCCCCTGGAAAAGTTTGGCCAAAACTTCCTAGAGAAACTAATTGGGATTGAGATGCCCCACAAGCTGCTGGAACGGGTGACTTTTGTGGACACACCGGGAATCATTGAGAACCGAAAGCAGCAGGAAAGAGGTGAGGAGATTCAAAACCTTGTTTCTGTTTTTCAGAAAAGTAAATAACAGATTTTTAGTAACCTTTTGCTTGGTTGCTACCCAGGATACCCCTTCAACGATGTTTGCCAGTGGTTTATTGACCGTGCAGATCTGATCTTTGTGGTGTTTGACCCCACCAAGCTGGATGTTGGTCTAGAGCTGGAGATGCTCTTCCGCCAGCTGAAAGGTCGTGAGTCCCAGATCCGTATCATCCTAAACAAGGCTGACAACCTGGCCACCCAGGACCTAATGAGAGTCTATGGAGCTCTCTTTTGGAGCTTGGCGCCCCTCATTAATGTTACAGAGCCTCCCAGAGTCTACGTCAGCTCCTTCTGGCCATACGATTACGCACCCGACACCAGCCGTGAGCTCTTCAAGCGAGAGGAAATCTCCCTCCTGGAAGACCTCAACCAGGTGATTGAGAATCGTATGGAGAACAAGATCGCTTTCATCCGCCAGCACGCCATCCGTGTACGCATCCATGCCCTGTTGGTGGACCGCTACGTCCAGACCTTCAAAGATAAGATGAGCTTTTTCAGTGACCCTGAGCTAGTCTTCCAGGAGATCGTTGATGACCCAGATAAGTACTACATTTTCAAATCCATCCTGGCCAAGACCAACGTCAGCAAGTTCGACCTGCCCAACCGAGATGCTTACCGTGACTTCTTTGGAATCAACCCAATCACCAACTTCAAGCCCCTGACGGCTCAGTGCTCCTACATCGGGGGCTGCCTCTTGGATAAGATTGAGAAGGCGATAACCAATGAACTGCCCGCACTTCTGAGCAGCATCAACTCTGGCAAGCAGCCTGGTCTGTCATCCTGCGAGTTAACCGGCTGTGGGGAGAAGCCAAAGAATCGTTACAGAAAGAACTGAGGACTAAATCGTAACTTATGAGGAGGAAGTGAGGAGTAAAGGGAGGTGAAGAGAGGGGTTCTGGTGGGAGCCAACCCTGCTTCTGTTAGGACGTTTATATCGCTAGGGAGACAGAAATGAGTTTTTTTTTCTCAGGAGAATGAGGGAAGTTCGTTTGGGGACTTTGAGAACATTACAGATTCTAAATAGGGCAGCTTAAGGGCAAAAGAGAAGCGAACGAGCCACTGTTCAGAGTTTTATTAGGACACACACCCTCGTCTCTCCTTGCACAATCACACTGGACTGTCTCGGACTGTGAGACCGAAGTACTGCCGATGTGAAGAAAATTGAAATAGCTGCAAACTAGTAAAATGAAAGCAGACACCAGCTCTCCTGTCTGTGAACAAAACAAGGCAGAAATCTGTGTTGTAAATCCTAAAATGTATTCTCAGCAGGTTAATTCCAAAAGCCTCAGAAGTTTTTAAGGAGTCTTTTTGTGGGTGCTAAAAAAGCCTTTAAGTTGGACTGATCCTCCAAACCTTTTGCTTTTGAACTAGATTGCCTTCTGCATGTTAGATATCACATTTATGTAAACAGTTGCATGGGTTTTTATTCTGACACGAACAAGAAAGAAAATCCTGTCATTTCCTTTCTGTGACACCTCAACCAGTCCTGCCATTTGTTTTTTTATGATTATTATTATTATTAGTCTTGGTTGGTTGGTTTTCACCAACCTGTGAAACAAGTGGAGGTCTGGGGTTAAGGGTAAGAATCTTCAGAAAAAGGAGGATGAATTCATTCTTCTTTACTTCTTCACCATTCTTGTGTTTGAGTCCATAAGTTTGCCCGTCGTTGGCATAAATTCAAAACTGTGTTAAAAGTATTTTCTCGTTAGTTTGTTTCTTTCCTAAGAAGCTTCCAAACGATATACCTTTTCCAGATGAGTGACCATGAAAGAACCTGGAAGAATTGACTGCTGCCTTTGTACAATCACTCTGTCATTTCATCTGTCGATTAAAATGTTTGTTTCTTTGTGTAACGCTACAAATAGTATTGAACTGTGCAGACGAACAGCAGACCAGGAACTGTCTCTGCAACACGAAAATGGATCTCAATCACTATGAATGGCATAAGCTGATAAAAGAGGACCCATGAGTTGATCCCTGACCTCAACATAAACACTGTATCCCTCAAAGTATTACTGTTCTCATCTCAAATATTGACAAAGAACACTCATAAAGCAGCAAATGTTCATCTGACGTACTGCAAAAGAGTATAAAGTATGGCGAAGAAACAAGTTTTAGATATCTTTATGCAATATGCTGAGATACACTTATCCTACGGTTTATCAAGTAATCTATAAAACACCAGGTTCTACTTTTCTAAAAAGCAGGTTGGAAGCATGCACACTCATACATTTCCTGGTAACGCGTTTCCTCACGGCTTTCATGTATTAATTGAGACAAGAGGCTCCACTCTGTGTGTGTGTGTGTGTGTGTGTGTGTGTGTGTGTGTGTGTGTGTGTGTGTGTGTGTGTGTGTGTGTGTGTGTGTGTGTGTGTGTGTGTGTGTGTGTGTGTGTGTGTGTGTGTGTGTGTGTGTGTGTGTGAACGCAGACCCTGAACATGACCACTAGATGATGCTGTGCTAAAGAGAAGAATATGAAGAGCTCAACATTTCAACAGATCGGATTTTCTATGATGGCTGGGGTTCCTGATGTTAGGTGGTTCTGTGTTTTTAAATCAGTCTACCTTCCTTCACCTATCACAGAATGAGTGTGTCCTTTTAGAATATCTACTGATTCACCTTTTTGAATGACTTTGGCCCCGTTTTTGGATCTTTAATGGAAAACAAATAAAGATTTCTGATAGAATGACTCAGCAGAATTTTGTGGTTATTCTGCTGAAAAGAAAGCCTTCCTGAGGAAAACGTAAATAAGAAAAATGTTGCTTCTCTGACTCTTTCCCTCCTGTTCACAGCCCATAGTTCTGCTGATGTGTCATTTATTTCTTTAGGCTTTGTTACCCAATGTTGAAGTTGCTTTGGGCTTGAAAGCATGTTTTTGTTCTCACAGCTGCAGTGCACCAGTGACTTCGTGACTGAAAGAGGTGAGGAGTTTAAGTAAGTGTGTGTGTGTGTGTGTGTGTGTGTGTGTGTGTGTGTGTGTGTGTGTGTGTGTGTGTGTGTGTGTGTGTGTTTCTCCTGCAAACACGCACACAAGCCCATATATGTTTCATGGATTGCATTTCCGGTCATTCTTAAATGTTCTCCCACAAAATCCAAAAAGGACAAACCTACAAACAAAAACAGGATTTTAGGTTCAGAGGTTTTAAATGAGAGATAATTGTTATTTGGGGATAAGTTAAACACAGAATTCTTACTTTTATGTAATCATTTTTGTTTCCAGGTTGTTTGTAAATGCATTGTAGATTATTTTAGATTTATTTATAAATTTTTTTTTATTAGGCTACTGTGTCTCTTTCTTAAGCAAGACCAAGAGACATTTGATTTAACAAATGGAAAAATACAGTTGAAAAACTATTATGGAGGAAAGGTTAATAGCTATTTTATGATTGAATTTTGACCTAAATAGCAAACTATGATATTCATGCCATTTGGGGATTTGCAACTCTTTCGTATACTTCTGAAATGTGACCGTAAGCAGTATCGTGCATCAGGCATCCTCTACACGGGTAAAGGGTTTGGAGTTATTTCAGTTGTGGCATGCTGGAGCTTTTACAGCATGCAGTCAAAAGAGCTCTGGCTACCATTAAAACTGCCATGACAAAAACTATTGAGAACAACATCTGAGTTATTATGGTCAAATTATCTGTGAACTTCTTTCAACTCATTAGTAAAAAGACCTAAGCCTTTGTCATTACAATGAAAAAAATAAATCTGATTTCACAAAATCTGTCAAGAGGAGCAAATGAGGGAACATAATTCTGAACTTTAATGCTTGATGTTTGCTATTCCACAAAAAGGTGGAATCTGGTTATAAACCAGAAAACCCCAAACAGGAAAAACTTGACATTATAACAAACGGCATACAGTGGGACAAAAAAGTGCTTAATCAGCCTCCAACTGTTGTTCTCTCAAAGATGAGAGAGGCCATATTTGCAAATTATGGTGGAAAATAAGTATTTAGTCAGCAACAAAATTCCATCTCAATACTTTGTTATATACCAGAAGTGTGCAAGTCACTGCTTTGCAAGTCACAAGTCTTTCCAGTCAAGTCTCGAGTCAAGTCCAAGTCAAAGACAACCAAGTCCAAGTCGAGTCCAAAGTTAATGATGTGGAAGTCCAAGTTAAGTCCAAGTCCTTAACTTTGAAATTTCAAGTCATAATCAAATCATCTGTCCAACTTCAATTTATTGACAATGATAATAAACTCGAGCTTCTTAAAGCTTCATTTATTTGCTCAAACAGAAGAAAGTGCAACTGAACCTGATTATAAACAAAGAGCTGCTGCATTTAGCAGTACAAAATCAAACCCAGAACGAAGAATGATTCATGATTTTTGTCCATGTCTTGCCACTTCTGTGCTAAAATATCAAATATGCTCAAGTCACCATCAATTCAACAGATGCAAGTTGATTCAAGTCAAAGGTAATTGGGAGTTGGGAGTGACATCATCAAGTCAAGTCGTAAGTATTTATAGATTTTATCAAGTCAGAAGTCATTAAAATAATGACTTGAGTCTGACTCAAGTCCAAGTCATGTGACTCGAGTCCACACCTCTGTTATATACCCTTTGTTGGTAATGAGGTCAAATGTTTCCCGAAGGTCTTCACAAGGTTTTCACACACTAGATGTGTTTCCATTATGAGAACTTCAGGGTAATCTCACTGGAATCTCTCGACACTTGACCGGGCCGTTCGAACGGCCATTTTCCGGGTCGTTTCCAGGAGCCTTCTGAGTGTCTGCTCAGAGGTAGGTACTCGGAGTGGCCCAGTAGGAGGGCCGAAAGGTACGTTGACGTAGGAAAACAAAAATGCATACGGGACGGGCGTTTTTGAAAACACAAGTTGTTTGTCGCGTTCTACGCCAATTGATGATGTCCCAATGCAGCGGTCGCAATGTGCTGGCATCTTAGCACATTCCTACAGGACCAAACTGTAAATGGAGACATGACAGCTAAGAGGACTGGGCCTTCGGATCTCCCAGTCAATTTCCCCCTCGCTGCATTTACCCTGAAGTTCCAGTAAAGGAAACGGCTATTGTTGCAGGTATTTTGGCCCATTCCACAGTGAAGAGCTTCTCTAGAATAATAATATTTTGGGGCTGTTGCTGACAACACATACTTTCAACTCCCTCCAAATATTTTCTATGGGGTTGAGATCTGGAGACTGGCTAGGCCACTCCAGGACCTTGAAATGCTTCTCAGGAAGCCCCTTCTTTACCCGGGCAGTGTGTTTGGGGTCATTGTCATGCTGAAAGACCCAGCCATGTTTCATCTTCAGTGCCCTTGCTGGTAGAAGGATGTGTTCACTCAAAATCTGACAATACCCATTGATTCTGTCCTTTACACGAATCAGTCATCCTGGTATCTTTGCAAAAAAACAACCCCAAAGCATGATGTTTTCACCCCATGCTTTACAGCAGGTATGGTGTTCTTTGGATGTAACTTTGGATGTAAGCATTCTTTCTCCAAACATGTAGAGTTTTTATTTTGGTTACGTCTGACCATATGACAATCTCCAAATCCTCTTCTGGATCATCCAAATGGTCTTTAGCAAACTTCAGACGGGCCAGAGCTTGTACTGGCTTAAGCAGGGGGACACGTCTGGCACTGGAGGATTTGAGTTCCTGTGGCGTAGTGTGTTACTTATAGTAGTCTTAGTAACTTTGGTCACAGCTCTCGGAAGTCCTTTACTAGGTCCCCCGTGTAGTTCTGGGATTATGGCTCACCATTGTTGTGATCATTTTGACCCCACAGGATGAGATCTTGAGTGGAGCCCCTGATCGAGGGACTTTATCAGTGGTCTTGTAGCCTCCCACTTTCTAATCATTGCTCCCACAGTTGATTTCTTCACACCAAGCTGCTTACCTAGTGCAGATACAGTCTTCCCAGCCTGGTGCACGTCTACAATTTAGCTTCTGGTGTTCTTTGACAGCTCTTTGGTCCTGGCCATAGTGGAGTTTGGAGTGTGACTGTCTGAGGTTGTGGACTTTTATACTGATAATGAGTTCCAAGGTGCCGTCAGTGATGAGTGGAGGACAGACGATTCTCATACAGAAGAAGTTACTGGTCTGTGAAAGCTTGTTTGTAGGAGACTAAAAACTTATTTTCCACCATAATGTGCAAATAAATTCTTCAAAAATCAGACTGTGCAATTATCTGGATTTTTTCTCATTTTGTCTCTCATTGTTGAGGTACATCTGTGATGAAAATTACAGGCCTCTCTCGTCTTTTTAAATGGAAGAACTTGCACAATTGTAGATGACTAAATACTTTTTGCCTCACTGTTAAGGCAAGCACCACTTAATCAATAGAGAGAAAAAATGGTGTTGTCTGATTAGACTCTGCAATGTTGTTTGGCATTTCACGGCGTACATGAAAGATAACCTGAGAAAAGCAACAAATAAAAATAACAAAACATGACTTTATGAACGAGAGAAGCTACATTCAGATATTTTCTCTATTGACTGAGCTGCATTTCACTTATTTTAGTCAGAAAGACCCTCAATTCAAAGAAAGAAAACAATCTTTTACATAGCGCCTCTGAAAATAAAAATCATGAGGCGCTTCAACCAAAAAAATTAAAATATTTAAAATATTTTTAAATGATTAGAAATATGTTTCAAATGAAAAAGAAGTGATAAAAAATGTAAGGAAGGTGAGTTTTCAGCTGCTTTTTGAAGGAGACCACCGAGTCCACTGATCACAGGCAGGGGGAGGGGGGGGGGGGGCTGTCTAGAGTCTGGGTGCCACAGCAGCAGATGATCTGTCTCCTTTGGTGACAGCTGGACTCTAGAATAAAGGAAACACATTTTTCATCTAAATATGTAATAAATTAATGTTGAAGTAGACAGATTAATCACATTTAAATTTTTCAGTACCTTCATGAAGGTATGCTTGTGTTTTCTTGCATGTTGCAGGTGAGCTGAGCTCCCACAGGAGATTCTTAAACCAAACTGTAGAGGTCTGGTGGTGATGATTAGTATTCGTCAGGTCACACAATAAAAACACAAAAGAAAAGCTGGAGCTTATTCTTTGAACAAAACTATGTGATAAGCTTATTTTTTTTAACTCATCCTGTTCACTAAGTAAGAATTTCATGATGAAGTTGTCCTCCAGTGGGGAGGCCCTTTCTTCTGCGGCTGCTTGCGCGATTATATGACACAGCACTTTATTTGGGGTCTTTGTCATTGAAATCCTCCTCGTGCTTTTGTTTTTCCACCAGGTGCGTGCATGCACCTCCTCCCCGCTCAGCGCTCAGCCCTTCCTCGCCTCCCCTGTGATCACCAACACAGACATCAGCATCAAGTTCAAAGTAATGATAAAACAGGAAGTAGCAAACGTTTCAAAATAAAAGACAAGCACTTGTTTTCAACGATTTAAGCTTGAAATATAAAAAAAGCGAACTAAAAGCCAGGAGACTTTTCAAATAGACTTTTAACAAGTGTCATCTTTTGTTTTCATTTCGTAATGTATAAGTTATGTTTTAATGGCAAAGGATAGAGCGGATGCCATCATTATTTTAATGTGAAATCCCCCCCCCCCCCCCGTCTCTCTCTCTCTCTCTCTCTCTCTCTCTCTCTCTCTCTCTCTCTCTCTCTCTCTCACACACACACACACACACACACACACACACTTCTCGCGTCTGGGCGACACACACACACACACACTTCTCGCGTCTGGACGGCTGTCATCGCTCAGAAGATGGTGGCGGCTGTAGCCACAGCGTGTTGCGCGCAGTAGCGGGAGAGCGGAGAGCGCACACTGCGTTTCAGCTGCTCCTTCATGAAGAAAACGCTCATATTACGCGGAGAGACGGCGTTCATTTCGCTGCACCTCCTTGGAGAGAATGGCGGGAGTTTACGGCAGCCAGAATATCTAATTATTCTTGGATTAAAGTGGAATTACTTGGAGGTAAAACGACACCCACCTCGCCCGAGCCAAATCAGTTAAGATGCTGTGCGTGCGTGCGTGTGTGTGTGTGTGTGTGTGTGTGTGTGTGTGTGTGTGTGCGTGCGTGTTTTGAGGAAGGGGGGCGTTTTGGGGAGGTGGAGACCTTTTAATTAGCTCGGCAGGGCTCTGGTCTGGGCCGATGGTGATCCAGCGATCACGGGGAAACTACTTTGAACTGAAGGAAAGCGTCTTGTGTTTTGGCTCAAGGTTACACGTTTTTCCTCTCTGCAGCTGTCAGGTGGCCACCGGGTATGCAGCCTGGAGCAGCCACGGAAAGGACCGGAGGACGTTTTCCCGGGGCGCACTGACCATCTTGATGGATTGGCGACATGTGGAAGGAACGCAGGAATAGAAGTGCTACCCGTAAGGAGCGTCACCTACACGCCCTTTAAATAAACCCTAATATCTCACAAAAGCCCCCTTGAGTTTGGATCAGTGGGTTGGAGACGCAGCGCCGCTGGAGTCACCGCAGCGGGAAGTCAGGAAAGGACGGGGCTCTGTCCGTGGGAACAGCTGCCATTAGGCCCCGGAGCAAGCATGTGGCTGCCCAGCCCGAGTGGCAGGCCTCTGCTCTCTGATGCTGACTCAGTTTGCATGAAAAGTTTTTCCCGGTAATCAAAATCGCATTTGAGTAAGTTTTAGTGCTTTTGCTGAGTGGAAGTGCAGACCAATAAAAAAGACTTGTGACCCAAGTGAGATCTCTAAAGGGAAGATCGTTTTCCTACTCGTTAAGAAGTCTCCTAAATCCATTATTGACTTAATTACCATTCATTCTCCTCCTTAGGCAGTATTTTCTGAGTTTTATTAAATGTTTTCCAATGAGTGAAGCAAAGTGCAGCCTGCTGAGTCAACTTGGACTGGAACAGAGCAGGCAGCCAGTGGACCATCTAGCCTCAAGTGTGTCAAAACAGACGGGAATGTAGAGGAATGCAGGGACTGACGTCAATAATGAGGTACTCAAAATCTTTGGATGGTTTTCTGGTTTTGCTTCAGCCCGAGTGCTGTCACCTATACGTCGGGTTCTGCTTGTGTTCTCTTCTGGGCTGCACTGCTACGTTTCATCAGTTGTGGACACTTAGTTTGCCTTAACTTTCTAATTTCCCACAGATCCTTGTCTTTTCATTTGTGGATAGAGTAAAAGGCAGCATGGCATCCCCCCAACATCAGCAACTGCTGCCTCACAACACTGAGGTCAGCTGTGACTCCAGTGGAGAGGGTGGCGTTTCAGTGAAAATAGGCAGTAGCGTCAAACACAAGCATGGAGGAGGACCACTGAGTTCGATCGGTGGCGGATTCATAGGCGGAACAAAACATTGCAAGTACAGCATTTCCTCTAGTTGCAGTTCTGGAGAGTCTGGAGTGAGGAGACCTGTGGTCAAAAGTTTTCGCGGTCACAAGAGGATGCCTCAGCTGTTTGAGAGATCAGCAGGTCATTTCTGGGATCCAAAGTTTGACTCGTCGATCCTGGAGGAGGCTTGTAGAGAACGGTGTTTCCCCCAGACCCAGCGGCGCTTCCGCTACGTCCTCTTTTATCTGGTTGCTGCTAGTTTCCTCTGGGGATTGTATTTTGCTGCCAATCCTCGATGCGACAGGGTTGTTTTTCTGCTCCCCACTGCTTCCTTCCTCCTCTTCTGCCTTCTGCTCTTCCTCTTAACTTTTACCCAGCTGTACTCTCGCTGCTACGACCAAGCCTCTTTGCTGCTTGTCTTTGTGACCTTTCTCCTGACCCTGGCCCCTCAGATCCAAACGTTAGGTTTCAGAGAGCTAGACACTCCTGCGCTCGAAGCGGAAGAATTCAATGGCAGGAGACGAGCAGACAACCAGTCTTATGAGGATCTTGTGGAAGAAAACATTAGGTCGCCCTGTCTTTCTTCTGTTGGCACGTTCTCCCTCTGTATCGAGGTTCTCCTCTTACTCTACAGTGTTCTCCACGTCCGTCTCTTTGCCTCTGTCCTGCTCGGATTTCTTTACTCTGTCTTGTTTGAGAGTTTGGGCTGGTTGCAACTCACCCAGTCAGAGGAGAGCTGGAGCTTAGCTGCTTCCTCAGACTGGGACACGCTCAGATGGTTGGGGCCAGCCAAAGTGTTGCTTCATCTCTGTGCTCATGCCATAGGCATCCACCTGTTCGTCATGTCTGAGGTGCGTTCTCGCAGCACTTTCCTTAAGGTTGGACAAGCTATCATGCATGGCAAGGATCTGGAGGTGGAAAAAGCCTTGAAGGAGAGAATGATTCACTCCGTTATGCCCAGATTAGTGGCAGATGAGCTGATGAAGCAGGGTGACGAGGAGATAGGCAGCGATTATTCTGCCAAACGTTACTCCACCAGTGGAGCAGCTGCTGTCATCTCCAGCCCCAAAAACAATAAACGGAAAAAAACATCCATCCCTAAAGGCCAGATCATCTTCAGACCCTTCAACATGAAACGAATGGAGCCCGTTAGCATCCTTTTTGCAGACATTGTGGGCTTCACCAAAATGTCTGCCAACAAATCTGCTCATGCTCTAGTTGGGCTCCTAAATGACTTGTTTGGACGTTTTGATAGACTTTGTGAGCTCACTGGCTGTGAAAAAATTAGCACTCTAGGAGACTGCTACTATTGTGTGGCTGGTTGTCCAGAACCCAGACCGGACCATGCTTATTGCTGCGTAGAAATGGGCCTGGGCATGATTCAGGCAATCGAGCAGTTCTGCCAGGAGAAGCGGGAGATGGTGAACATGAGAGTGGGCGTTCACACGGGCACTGTGCTATGTGGTATTCTGGGCATGAAGCGCTTCAAGTTTGACGTTTGGTCAAATGATGTCAATCTGGCCAATCTGATGGAGCAGTTGGGTGTAGCCGGGAAAGTCCACCTATCGCAAGCCACCTTCAACTTCCTGGATGATCGGTACCAGCATGAAGATGGAAAGGTCAACGAAAGGATAGGACAGAGCGTGGTGGCTGACCAACTCAAAGGTAAGCATTTTTTATAGCTGTACTTTTTCCCTACGACGTTACAGTATATGTACTTTAATGCTCTAAGTCTGTAACTGACTTGAATACGACGATCCTAATATTCCCTCGCTGACTTTGTCCTTCAGGTTTGTTCTGTAAAACTTTTCTCCCATCTAACCAACTAAATTTGTTGAAGGGCCAGAGTTTTTCAATCAATCGATCAATTAATCGACCGATCAATCGATCAATCAATCGATCAATTAATCGATCAATTAATCAATTAATCAATCGATTAATCAATCAAATCTTTATTTATATATAACGCCTTTCACAACCCTATTCGGGCACCCAAGGTGCTAGAACACATCGTAGAAAGACATACAATCAAGAAAAGAGAAGTTAAAACACAGAAAATGACGCGTAGAGCATAAGACAGAGGAATAAAACAATGAATAAAGGCTATAACAAGAAATAAAACGGCAATTAAAAACAAGGATTAAAAATAACATAAAAGCAAGCCGACTTCAAACATGCTCTGTAAACGCTAAACGAAGAAAAGAGTTTTCAGTCGACTCTTGTCTGATGGTGCAACTGTAGCCGGGTCTGTCCCAGCAGACACTGTGAGGGCCAGATGCTCTTCTAAAATGAAGTTAAAAGTATCTTAACAATATTTGTTTTCCATCTAAACTCTTTTGATTGTAGTTTTAGTTGTTTGCAGAATGTAAACAATTATTGATAATTGGGACATGACTTTTGCCGCAAAACTTCAAAGTCCTCTCAATTGGCGTTAGGGCCCAAAGGGTTGGGGGCCGGATGTGGCCCGCGGGCCACCATTTGAGGTTCATTGCTCTAAATCCTAAATTATCTTAGCTTATTAAAGTCAAAGCAGTGGTTTAGGATCAATTGGATTCCATCATCCTGTTCTGATGTGTTGGCAGAAGTTTGAGTTTGTATCCTATGCAGACGCCATCTTATTTCCCATCCCTCCCTGCATTGAGCCCACTCTTTGGTCTCGTTCAGTTACATTTCCTGTCAGACGTCCTCGATGTTTTAACTTCGCTTTGAACCTCAAGGATGGCTTTCAACGTATGGCTCACCTTTTAAAATGAGACATTTTCCTGCAGCATCTTCTTCCTCTCTCCCCCTCTCTTCTCCGTTTCTCCAAATTGCCTGGCTGCAGGTTTTATTTGATACATTTATGCAAATCACCCCAGTGTGACTAAATGTGTGCTTAATGGATCTTTTCATCATTTTAAAGGTGGCTGATCCATTATCGCTCCTTGTAAGTGAAATGACGGTATGTGACTAAGGTGTTTCAGATGCTGCTCATTTGCTCTTTTTGAGTTAGCATTTAGGACGATTCTTTTTGGTATTTCTGCGTTGCCGGAGGGCTGCATGTTTAATTTTTGTCCTGTGCAGTTTTTTCGTAGGGAATATTATGAACTTGTAATGCACACATTAGTAATTTACACATTAATAATTTGAGATCCATAAATTATCGGTTAATCTTTATGACCACTTGGCTTTTCACAGATGGAATAGCCGTCCCTGGATATAATCAGATCTACCAGTGAGAGAGCAAAACTTAAAGAGCAAGTCACCCCCTACCAGTCTTACTCCACTCCCACTTAATGTTTGAAAAATGCTACAAATGATTTTACCTGGCAGACCAAGAGGGCAGAGCTGCTAACACACACACACACACACACACACACACACACACACACACACACACACACACACACACACACACACACACACACACACACACACACACACACACACACACACACACACACACACACACACACACACACACACACACACACACACACGTTCACAACAACATTGTGACATCATATTGTGCCAGCCAGCATCATAGGGTACCTCTTAGCCAACAGCGATGGCAGATTTAAATTCAAATGCTGTCCAGAGGTTTTACCTGAACACTTGACAGTTGTAGGCAGCATATTTAAATATTAAGATGCACTAAAGTGCCAAATTATTGACTACATGTGTCTACAGCATGGTTACACACTGAATTACATAGTTTATCAGCAAAAAAAAGTTGATTTGGGGGTGACTTGCTCTTAACCAACTTTCACCAGACAGTAGTGATTTATGGTTGTTTCCTTAATTCTCACAGTAGTTGGTGATTTTCACTCTGTCTTGTTTTTTAATTGTGATACCCATAATATAATTACTTTCCTCCACTTCTCCCATTCTCGACACCTTTTTGCTTTCAGCACTTATTTAGTTCTTATCCACTCCTTGTAGGTTTTCTGTGCCTGTGATGGAACTGGCTGTCAGATGAGAGTTGCTGTAAAACTCCCTGTTCTGTCTGGCTCAGTTGGTGTAAATCACTTGGTTGGCGTTGCTGCCAGACGCGGATCCCTGCTGAGTCTGGTCCTTGTTGCTTCACTCACAAGCAAATCATTTTGTCCAAGCCACTGATCACTGATCAGCTGTTGTCTCATCTTTGTGAAACTTTTCTTGCTAGTTTTTGTGTCCACTCTGACACTAAACTGGAGAAATAGGGTCTCCTTTCCTTTTGTCAGCCACAGGTGCATATTCTCAGAAGTCTATCTCCGGCTTGTCGCCTCGTTTTAAAGGTTCGAGTTATTTTTGGTCGGTTATCGGAGAGGTTTACATAAAGTACAGCAGCATGTGGTGAATTGAGTGTTGCAGCTGCGTCCTGCTGCTTCCTCTGCTCTGACCCGAGGCCTGTGGTTTTATAAACAAATGGAAATGTGGTTCAGTTCAAGTGGCACAGGATTAGATTTGTTGGCACTGTAGCCTCACAGCAAGAAGGTCCCCCTGTTCAAATATTGGCTGGAACATTTGTCTGTCATCTCCATGCTTGAGTGGGGTTTCTCCAACTTAACCTACAGCCTGAAGGTTCACCTGTGGAAGGAGCATTCATGAGGATGTTTGTCTTCTGTGTCGCTCTGTGATGGACTGGTTACCTGATCAGCAAAGATCTGCACATTTCAAGCAAAACACTTTTCAAAATTTCTGGTGTTTGATAATTCTTTGAAATTTTGCTCATTCAGAACGGAAGCCAGAAAGAAGCAAATGATTGAAAATGAGCAATAATATTGATTATCTGCAATAGACTAATGTCTGTTCAATTCAATTCAAATTCAAAAATACTTTATCTATCCCAGAGGGAAATTCAATTGTTTCAGTACAGACAATTCCAAGATCAGACATGCATACATAGACACATGACAAGAATTGGTGACTGTGGTCATTCGCAACACGAGTCGCGCTACCGTTATGGATCAAGAGGGTTTATGTGAGGATTGAGTCAGGGGGAGGGAAAAATGTTGGGTCCATTATTATTATGGATGAGCTCAAATCTTGAGCTGTTGGTTGAAATGTGCCAGTTTTCAGTTTTAGAGGTGTAATTTGTGATTGGGCAATATGAAATTAAAGAAATGGATAACACTTTCCTGCTAAGTGCTAATTGGCACAAGCAATAGTGGATTTCCCATGTGGACGTTTTTGCTAACATGTTGTAACTAAAATACCGATAATCACTGTTTAAGATAAGTAACAATCAGCCAACGTTAGCACTGTCCGATCAGACCTGTCCAATAATACAAAATCAGAGCTGGCCATTGTAATCAGAATCCATGCATATCTGCCCAGTTTACCTAAAAGTTTTAAATCCACAAAATATTAAATGTGAACAATTTATTTATTTATTTTTTGGTTGTCTCAGAAAACGGCACAATCGTAATCCAAAGCCATCACTTGGTTGGTTGAAATGATCCTCTTCAAAAGCTCAGAGTGCACTGCTGCTTTAGCTCGGCGTTTTTGTCTTTTCAAGGGTCTGAACAAGAATCCAGACCTTGTTTTGTTTTGTCTTACTGGGAATGCAAGCTAAACTTGGTTCCATTTCCCTGGAAAGTGCCCGTCTCTTTGTGCTTGATGCAGAGGGATGAGACCTGCATAAGATTATCCCTTTTGGACCAAACGCCAGCATGGCTGTATTATTCTGCTGCTATGAGTCTAAACACAGCTTCACACACTGCTGTCTTCTCTTCCAGGAAACGGTTGTATCTGGGTAAATAACCTTGTTTGTTGGACGATGACGTGGGTGAATCATTGCTATCGTGCATGTTGTGGCCTTAATCTCTCACTACAAAGGTGTTAAAGATTACAACTCCTACTCTGCATCAGAGAAAACCGTTATATTAATGTCTTTATAAGCAAGAATGAAAGAATGCTCATAGGAAATTGTAATTCCCTCAACCTTTTCCATCTGAAAACTCCTCCTCTGGCACCACGCTCTCACTGGCCATTTCTGTTGTCGCACCTCAGTGGTTGTCATTCTCACAAGACACAGATTCAATCTTGGGTGCTGTATTTTACTTTTGCATACACTCTTTTCTTCCCAAATATAGGTTATGCTTGAAGGAAGTTTCTATTTCTAGAGCCGTTCTGTTTTTTTTTTATAATTGCTTGTTTGCTCCACTTAAATGTAAAAAGGACTGATTAGTTTAAGATGTCGACAGCTCTTTTATGTAACGACATATCTTGTTTCTGCTAATGATGATTATAGATGGGGCTTCTCAGCTGCCCCAGGGTTCATAAGACAGGCTGAGCCAGTGAGTTGACATTGTAAACGCAACTTTCTAAAAGCCAAAGAACAGAGCAAAGTTTAGCAGATACAGTATGGCCTTGGCTCACATCTCTCACCCCTGTCTTACCTTGACTTCTAATTAAGCAGGGCTGAGTAATCTCTCCTTGGCTAAAGTGATTAATGTTAGTAATTCTCCTTCGACATATCTCCTCACACTAACCTCGTGTTGTTCTGAACCGTGAGCACAGCACAGCACCCTCCTGCCAGACGAGCATTTTTATAACCGTAAAGATCGATCGCTTGTAATGAGACTGTCATGGTTGTGTTTATTTATGAAGTGGCAGCAAAAGAAGACAACAATGAGAACAGGTTTCATGTCAGATGGATTTCAAAGGAAACCAGCCAAGGCCAGCGGTCATGATCGATTAGA